AACACAGAGCTGGCAAAGTTCACAAGACCTCTTCACGGCTCTCCAATTACACAAATCTCTACGGAAAGATAAGGGAGGAACATAAGCTGGGTGTGTTTTCAGTGTGTTACCATTTGTTTTTCTGGTCCTTGAAGTGGTCACTGAGATGAGTCTGGTGGGTGTGGTCTATTTAAAGTCGCAGGGCACCTTGTGGTTGCGGCTGTACAGTTCCGTCAAATTAGCAAACCTAAAATACATCCAAAGTTTTAGTGCTTCCACCTCCTCTCCACCCTTTTGGCAGGAGACTGCGTGTTTAAGTCAGAAAATGTCTGATCTTAAAATACACGAAAATTGTGCTGACGTTACACAAAGGGCATGCATGATGTTCAGCTGTAGCTGAGGGCAACAGATGCCACGCTGCTGCTTTAAGACCGACTTTTACACCAAGTCTCTCTCCATAACTTCTACAAAGGGATTTTGTTTTCATTTTTATTACTTGATCAAATGCAAGACCCGCTTTGGATCAGAAACAGTTTGGTCAAATAGTGCTTTTTTAATATTTTAAGTAAATGATTTCTCCACTATAGATGCATGTTTAATTTTTTTAATATTCTAAATATTTTTATACAAGCACAGTTATTCAGGGATATAATTAATTGAAGGATACATTCTACATCCCATTTCCACCAACCCAGTCACCTTTGATTAGTAATGGCTCTCAGCCAATCTTCTTTATGAGCATCCAAACGGTGGCTTGACCTAAGAGAGTTACAACTGTCACTCTCATCAATATCTCTGACCCTCCATGGCCCCGATTGACCCTTCGGAGGTCAATGCAGGTCAGAGGTCAAAGCTAGCGACCCTCAGGTTCCTTCACATGGCCAGGGCCGGCCTCCGGGGCTCTAAGTGGTGGGAGGATTGATGGAGGCAGATTTGACTCCGATGGATAAATGGAGGAGGATTTATGGGGCTGACCGCTGGGTAATGGACCCTGACTGTGACCATGGAGCGGCCTTGGTCACTTAACAAAGTCGCATCATTGACATTGTGGTGATGTATAAGTATTTGTTGAGCTCATTTGGAAAGAAATCCATTATGGCCACTTTAGAAATAAGTTTCTTACAGTTCATCATTCAGTATCTTTAGAATCTACAGGATCCAGTCTTAACAGGAGCTATTATTTAGTCCAGCTGGTCTTGCAGTAGTAAAGGTATTTTGGTACTTAATGTACCTCTTGTCCTTGAAGTTTGATTTAATGTGCAGTTCATCCCCGTGGAAGAGCAGGTGTCAACTCTTTTTCCCATATGGTGGGGAAAGTTCTAAGTGTTACCTTAGCAGACCTGGCTCAGAACAACTGTGAGTGTGCGTACGTGTTAGCATTTATCTTTTCAAACTCTGATACGTGCTTGCTGTTCAGTGTGTATTTTTATCTGCATTCATTTCCCATGAATGTACTAGACAGGTGGGTACAGGAGGCAGAGGGAAAGAAGCATCCATTAAGTTTTACTGCTTTCTATTCATGGTTCCTCTAAACTTGTAAACTTTTGCATGTGTTGGTCCGGAAAATGTAAAGAAGTAGGAATAGTGCTTTCTGAGGTTGCACTGAATGAAAACACTAGTGTACAAATATAGTGTTAAGCTTAAAAAGATTGAACGTACTACAAGGAGTTTTTAAATAGTAAACATCAGCGAGAACATCGGGTATTTCTATATAGTTACGCTTAATGCCTGCCACTGGGTCGGATTTGGGCAGATTCCCCTTGAATTCAATGAGACAAGGTTGCAGAAACACTTGTCCTTCCTTGTTCCTTTCCCATAAACCCCATAGCATCCTGAGACAACTATTGCATAAGTTCACTACATTGAATTTTACCCTAAAGTTGTCTAAGTAAAGTTACTTAAAAATGTTGCTGCTTATCAATATCATTATCAATGCAAATGCAAAATTGTCTTCAAATCATCTTGTGTTATTCATGCAAATAGTTGTAACCGTTGTTTATTTGCCTCAAACTGCGTATGTACCAACTCCATCGACTTTAGCTGCAAGGTAGACGTCCGCTCACACACCAACCCTGTGTGGGTAGTGAGTGTTCACAGCGCAACCATCGGCCTCTGACTGATCTCAGAGTTGAGCATGAACTCCATTTCTTCCTCATTTACTCCTCCAGACCCCTCTCAGTGTTGTTCTGTCTCTGCATGTTCATGAATTTGACTCCTATAGCCTCGCCATCAACAGAAACTTAAACAAGTTTAAACATTTTAAACCTGCCCGTGTGCGTCTCCGACTCAACTTGTGCTACCTACTGTGAATTCATGAATGTATGCGCTGCCGCCGCCTCTAAAATTCACTTTGTGTTCAGTCTGAACACACCTTGACAAAAGACTCATTTAATAACACTGAAATCTATCTGCAGCGTTTGACCTATTTTAGATGCACACAAGATTAATAGATAATCAGATGGAGAAGGCAGAAGCCATTGATACGTTGCAGCGCTGTCTGATTTCTGATGCCTTTTGATGCCAGCTCTGAGAAGATACCTTTTCTTCCCCCCCCAGATGTTTCTGTGTTGAATCAAAGCACATTTCATTATTGCAAATCAGATTGTTTGCTGTGTAGTTCCTACCTAACATTTCTCCATGAAGTCTGCTTTTGTAAATCAAATTAGACCACATTCTGTTGATTTCCTCACTAAAGCACAAAATCAGAAACTGGAAGCAAGCGCGGAACAAGAAGAAGCCTTCATTAAAAGAAACTAACATTTTGAAGCTTTTGGTGCTTTTTGACACCTTTTGAATTCTCTCACATCAGCGAGTCAGGAGTTGTCTTTAAAATTTCACTGTTAGTTGAAGTAGAAAGAATCACAGACAGATGGAGTGTGACACTTGGACTGGCATCTAGTCCAGCGGAGAATACATTCATGATGATGAATAAAAAATGATTAGACAAACCCGAACACAACATCAGATGACCAAACATGTGGGGGTTATTTGAAATGGTTGTGGAGTGTGTGCGTCTGGGACGGTTGGAATGACCATTTTTCATCTGTCTACAATCGCACACCCCGCACACACACTCACACACTGAGACCCCTGCCACGTCTTTCTCTCCTTACTTGCTCTCCTCCTCTGCTCTCTCTATTCTGACCACGTTAGACCAGGACCCTGTCACTGACCCTCCAAAGAGAGATTGATTACAGGAAAGAAGAGAATTTTGTTTGCCTTCCCTTTCTGTGTCTCTCAGTTTTCTAGGTTTTCTCCCTCCCTGTCACTGTCTCCCGGCTCCCTCCTTCCCTTTTTGTTTATCTCACACTCTCCCCTGTCTTTATTTTCTCCTCTGTCGAGTTAAATTTGAAAACCTCCTGCTACGGGTTTTACATCCACAAATACCAGCCTGCTCCCGTTTGGGGTGGATATTAAAAGCAAGAGGCAGCACAAAGGTCCAAATTAGATTCTTTTGAATTGTTTTATTGTGGATTCAGACCTGCCCATGTTACCTCTCCCTCTCCCAGCTCCTTTGGGCTGCGGGGACTGGCTGTGGTAAGTGTTTTGTGTGTGTGTGTGGTGGGGGGGGGGCATTGAGGCAACAGCTGGTCATATGAAAATGTACACTGCGGAGGAGGCGGGGCTTGGGCGTATTTGCTGAAAGGGTTTAGGTGGTTGATGGTCCACTCTAAGGGTTTGTGAGTCATCTTAAAATGAATTACAGCCCTCAAAAAAGCTCTTAACTATACATTTGTTTCATCATAGAGAGACATTTGTTTGTATTGGATGTTATTTTCCAAATGCTTCATATCCCTCATCATTTCCTGTGTCCATTTTCCTCAGATTTTCCATTAGCCTTGCTCAATCAGGAATCAGCTTCCTTTGTTTTCGCTTCAGGCGCCAACAGACGCCCTAAATTTTCAGTTTTTCAAGTGCTGCGGTGTCAAATGCTTTTGGAGAGCCTCCCTGTTGCTCATTTCAACAAGAAACAGGCCAGCTGCTTGGTGTAAAAGTTGCCAGAAAAGTAAAGAAAGCTCCCCCTCTCACCTCCTATCCTCTTTTTTTCCCCTCTCCACCTCCTCCGATGATCCAGCTGGAGTTTGAGAAATTAAATATAATATGGTTTCTTTGCAAGAGTTTGCCTCATTTCACAAAGCCAGACCTCTGCACTTAGATTAAGGGCCGTGTCAGCAATGGACAAAGACCTCACTGAACTCATTATCATTCTGGTACAGGGGAAAGAAACGCTCTGGTGAATCATTTAAAGATTGTGATTTTTCTAAATTTATTTAACGAATCACAATCGTCTTGAGTTGTTCTAAGCTCAAGCTATTGACGGTGCCCTTGCCAAATAGTTTTAGGCAAGTCCTGACATTAAAATGGCTAAATAATAGTACAGGTAAAAGCTGCTAGCTTGTACCTTCTACTGTAGGTTAGGTTTAGTGTAACTTTCCATTTTCAGCGTGTAGGTTTCTAGCTTGGAGGTTGTTGTTTCATGAAGCGACAGTAACACAGATAACCCAAATAGTCGACCAATGCCAGGCTCCTACCTACAACCTACTTCCTGTGTTAAACCACAGTTTGCCAGTAAAAGACTCTCACTCTGTGTGTCTGACCCTCTTTTTCTCCACCCAGACACGCCTCTATTGGTGAGGAGCAGCAGTGACTCGGCCTTGGCCCCGCCCCATGAGATGACCGTCACGCCCCCACCTGATGACCGTAGCAACTGGTCTCCTGAACCGGTGAGCACAGCGCCAGAGTGGCATAAAAATGACAGCTTTTGATGTGTGCATGATGTCTTCGTTATTCAAATATGATATAGAGATATAAAGAACAGAGAAATAGAAATGGTGTTTTAAAAAAAAAAACTGGCCAAAACGTTCAATTTCCAGCAGCTGGAACTCCTATAAAGCAGAGCAAAATGTTTTAATCAAAGCAGGAGACAATGGAAAAGAGCTGAAAAATTTAAAAAGAAAGGACATAAATAACGGAGAGATGAACATGTTACATTTCCCATGACATCTCTGGTGTGTGCCATTCCCTCATAGAAGACAGAGGAACCCAGTGAATATTCCTCTTGTGGTCCAGCTCAACGCCCCAGGCTGTACTTTGAAAGGGTCTGCTTTTCAAGTGCTTCTTTTCCAAACAGGCTGCCATTAAGGAGGACTTTGTCTCGCTGCCTTTTCTCGTCCCTCTGTGGGTGTCCGCGTGCGCGTGGTGGGCAGGACGGGGGCTGTGTGAGGTCACGCCGTCGATGTGCGTGTTAGGGGAGCTCAGGTAGAGAGAGGCAGGGGAGAGAGAGGGGAGTCCTGCTGTTCGTCCCCGCCGTGTTGGACACAGCAGTGACTAAGCAGAACCCAGGCATCAGCAGGCGACGAGTAAACACAATGACAAAGCCCGTATTTGCTGTCCAAAAAAAACGTCAGGCCTCATCCCCTTCAAACAGCACGGCCGGGCCAGAGCGAACCGGCTCATTATAGATGATTTAAAATATCCTCAGAACTGTTCTACAAACTCCATCTCTCTGCTGCCTGCTTCAGACCTCAGCAGCCTTATTTAAACCCAGACAGTTGCTCTTTAGCTCACTGGTAGATGCTGCCATGTCTTTGTGTTTGTCTCTTTACAGTGTTTTAAAGGCGTTTCTGCTTCATTATACAGGGAATAAAAAGGAGGCAAAGCTTATGAGGTTCTTTGAAAACTCCTCAGACTTATTACCACAGTGTTCAGCATCTAAGATACAGAGGTTGTGAGATCATTTGTCATAATGTTAATTAATTAAAAATGTTTCTTTATGCTGCTTAGCCATGATGAAACCAAAATACTATAATAAACTATTGGACGGAATACCATAATATTTTGTACAGGCATTGTAATACATTAATAAACAGAATAGTTTGTAGTAATTAGACCTCAGGTACGTTAATTAATGTCCACTCATTTTTCCGACAGGACCCATTTGTGTAGTTGTTTCTTCAGCTGTCTGGATTGATGTTGGATCAGGTAGCATTAAAATGGTATTGAGTTAGTTGGACATTTGGGAATGTAAAAGTAGTTCAAATACCTTAGCAGAGACATAAATCATAGTTTCATATGCAGTAAATCAATATGAGGATGCGCACACAAACTGGATTACTGCGAAGGCCCAGATTAAAAAGGAGAGTTACAGTAGCAGTACCAGTAACAGTTGCTTTATTGGTTTTTGCATATATGAACTTAATTATTTCACACTTGAGTCATTTATTGATCTTGCAGATCCCTCTTAATCTGCATTTATAATTAGAATGTGCATGTAAATGCAACAAATGGCATCTGTGCTCTCAGGCAAAGCTCATGAATGAGATTCAGATAGTAATTATGCTGTTTCCTAGCATGTAACACTTTATTTGAAGGATTACATGCTCTCTTACCTGTTGAGAAAGCATAGCACCCCTCTGATCCACATCAACAGGAGGATATCAAAAAGGTTTATAGTAAGTGGAGGTACATGGGTTTCGCCAACAGTTACTGCACTTCCCACAGTCAGACAGGCTCACGTTCAATCTCCACAGCAGGGTGAACTGTCAAAGTGCTTTTGAGCAAGACACCATGAACCTAAACTCTTGCAATATAAAAATCAATGATCCGTAAGTAATCATTTGTTCACAAGTACAATAATCTGTAAATTTATAATCCACATATGACGCAGGTGCACAGAGAACAAAGAATATTTGTTGCCTGTGTGTGTGTGTGTGTGTGTGTGTGTGTGTGTGTGTGTGTGTGTGTGTGTGTGTGTGTGTGTGTGTGTGTGTGTGTGTGTGTGTGTGTGTGTGTGTGTGTGTTGAAGGCTAGAAGGGCCGTCACAGCTCTTGGGCATATTGAGTCCTGGGCCTGATGGACTTCCATAGATCAATACACTATCACTTCATCCTGGCTCGTCCACTGTACCACTCCTCTGCAAACCCCTAACCCTCTCCACACACTCACTTACTCATACACGCACACACACACTTAAACACTAGTAACACACACGCTTGTGTCCCTTTTTGTCTTGGAGGAGGTATTGAAAACTAGATAAAGTGTAATTAAGGCTGATACAGTGATAAATATGCGCCCTGCCCCTTTAATTGATTTTACTGCCTGCTATGGTGGAGGCCAAGGTTGGCTCACTTCTCTCTGTCTTTGATTCCCACGTAGTCTACGCACATACCTCTCTTAGTCTTTCTTTCTCTCTCTCTCTCTGATTTAATGAAACTGGCAAAAGGCTGAGCAGTGCTAAACACGCAGCCGGCCCTTTAATTGATTTGGACTTCCTGCCATGTACGCGGCTAATAAACGAGATGTTTAATGTTAGCCGCTAACAAGCAGTACCCGGCAAATTCTTTTTTTCTCATGCTCCTCTCACCTCTGTCACTCTCCTCCTCCTAATCCTCGTTATGTTTCCTCTTCATCCCCTCTCTTTCCGTCCCACTCCCTCGCTCTGCCTCCCACATTTTTGGCTGATTTTCAGCACCTCGGGGGTGCAGTGATGCAATACATGTTCACGCAGCCGAAAGTCGGACCTTAATGTGATACACACTGTCCGATTTCCTTGAGCTTGGATGTAAAAAGCTGACACCTAAACTAGTTAAGCTAAATTCTGCTGTTTTTCTGCGACTCTCTGTACAGTGTCTCTGCCTCATGCTAGCGGCTGGTGGCTGTGTGTATCTGTCCGTCTGTCCCTTGAGGATTGTACTGCATTTGCATGTGTGTGTGTGTGTTTTCTAAGAAGTCGCAGGTGACAGAATGTGACCACGGCAGTCAGTTGATGTGATGGATATGACGAGGGTCAAGGAGCACCGGCTAGTACACTGATACTAGTGTATATACATACAAGCACTGTTCCTCACACACACACACACACACACACACACACACACACACACACACACACACACACACAATTTCTCAACCAACCTGACATGTAGCCAATGACTGCAGCGCTCAGAGGAAATGCCCAAAAGAGCCACACACCTCGTTACTCATCCGTCTGACAACAACCACACACACTCGCACACAAACACCTCATCTCTCATATGTCTGCACACATCGCCCTGTCACTCACACACACCTCAGACTACAAACAGCAACCCAAAACACAAAAACATGGATGGCAGTGTGCAACACAATAACGTAGCAGACAACCTGTTAGTTGTGCTTAGACGGGTTCCCAGACAGGTTTCACAAATTATTTGAGCGTTCATCCTGGGACCACAAAGCCTGCCACATTCAAATCACTCAGTGAAGAAAACAGATTATATAAAACAAAACACTGACAAACTGATTCCTGAAGACGATGTACATGTATTCACTGTTTGCCAAAAAAAAACAACTGCTCCCTTAAATGTTTTACAATTTAGTTTTTGAACTGCAATCATACTGGAGTTCATTGTTTAAGTTGAAGCAGGTAATGAAACTGAAGTTGTAGCTCAAGTTGAGGCACTGAAGTAAGTTAAAGTTGCAGCCAAAGTGAAAGTGCTGATAGGAGTTGAAGTCAAAGCCCAAACAGTAAGCACTGAAAATGTCATTTGAAGTGTAAGTGTTAAAAAGAGTTTAAAGTGTCAGCGGAGTAGTAAGTGCTGAAAGAGGTTGACAGTTGTCAGTTCAAGTGAGTTCAAGAAGTTGAAGTGTCAACTGATATTTATGTGAGCACAGATGGGAGTCAAAAGCCCTTTTTAAACAGAGATCCCCACAGTAGCGCTTTCAAGAAGACCCAGCTTTGCTTTTTAACACCAAACCAAACAACGCATCATGCTGCCCCACTGTGTGGATTTTAGATGGGATGCCAGGGTCAGTTGAAGCAGTAGCAGTAGTCACACTGGTTAGTTATCTCTTTTTAACACTAGAGCCAGTATCGCATTTTAGTACACAAACCACCTTACTTTAAGGAATACAGGCATGTTTTTCTATTAAACCCCCTTCGCTCAAGAACGTTGCCTAAATAAATTAGTCTAAAATTGGCCACATTTTGATTTAGAATCTAAAAATGTCTGATCAGAGAATTAGTAAAGATGTATATAAATCTGACCAGACATTAAATGCCAGCTTACTGTACTTAATGTACGCTACTGACACATTTCTGTAGCTACCAAACCCTGCCCTAGACACTGGTAGTACTACTCATGTTTTACTTATGGTAGTGGTAGTAGAAGTAGAAGACGAAGAAGAAGAAGAAGAAGACATATTATTGCTTATATTTTTAGGAGTAAACTGATTTGAAGCATGCATCACTAAACAGACATTTTGAAATATGTACAATAGTTTAAAGTTAGAGTAAATCAAAGCATCCATAATAATAACCATAATAATAACCATAAAGATATAAATGAAAGTGTGAGGTTGTGTTCGCGCAGTAATAATGAGTCACATCTGTGTGATCACTCTAAGGTTACAGACATACAGACAGTAGTCTATCTGGCATACTCAGAGGAATGGGGATGGCACTAATGTTTCTTCTTTGTGTGTTGAGATACGAGCAGTGAGCGCGGCGAGCTGATTGGCTGAGCAGCAGCAGGGTGCCTGAAGAGGAAAGCTGCTGTTTTTATGTCTAGATAAACAGGAGTGCTCTCAATCAGGGATTAGATTCACACTGGGCATTACGGCGTGATCCCTTAATTTCGAAGCATTAAAGAAAGGCAGGTTCGTGTGTGTGTATGCGTATCGGTCTGTGTACATCCCCGGATGCCATATCTTATATAATACACGTACTGTACTTATAGTAAAGCAGGGTTTTTATGCTATTGTACCGTGTGTGTGTGTGTGTGTGTGTGTGTTTGTTTGGGTAGAAGTAGTTCAGTTTCACGGCACAATTCCTGAAAATCTGGATGTACAACAAGTGCGAATGTGTTCATGATGAGTGTATACATGTGTTCACCTACTCTCCTGCCAACCTTGTGTTCCCAAACGACTGTGTCAGTACCTTATTCTGTGTTGTGTGTGTGTGTGTGTGTGGGTGTGTGTGTGTGTGTGTGTGTGTACTGTGGGAGGAGAAGCCTGTGTGTGTGTGTGTGTGTGTGTTAGCTAATGGTGTTGCAGGATGATGCACAGCAACAATGGAGCCTCCAGCTCGTCTTTCTGCCCCCGCACACACATGCACTCTATTGTGGGGTAATCTCAACACTGCCCAGATAAGTGGGTCACTGTTTGTACAGGCGTGTGTGTGTGTGTTTGTTCATAAATACACTGTGTTTATGTTTGCAGCTCTGCAGGGTTGATATGTGTAGGTATTATTTGCGGGAAATTTATGCATGGGGTGTGTGTGTGTTCGTTATAAAGCATATATTTACTCTGTGTGTGTGACAGAGGGTCCACCGGGGAGTTGGGTGTGGTAGTGGTGGTGGGGTGGGTTGCTAAGGAGCGGGCTGGTGGGCGGGAGCTTTTTAGCCATTAGTACTGGTGACACAATGAAAGTGACAGGGCAGAAGGACCTAATTGCACCCTTCTTGTCTTTAGCGTTTTGGGGCAATTTCTCTCTCCCACTCCTTGAGCGTGTTTGAGCGCCATCGCAACAGTTTGACGCTGTCGTTTTCTCTCTTTCTCCCCTCGCTCCTCTCTTTTCTCGTTTTTCCCCCCCCCAGGGGTTGTTGATTTTTGCCGACTTAAAAATAGAGCCTTGCCTGACACAGGGCAGGGATGGAGGGAAGGGGGAGGGAGAGGTAGACAGATAGAAATATACATAGAGTGAGGGAAGGACAAGCGGCGCGTGGTAGGGGAAGCTCAGCGTCCGGCGGTCGCTCTCCTCTTCGCTGTCTGCAGAGGTGATTGATGGCGGTGTTAGATTGTTTTGCTAATTGGCGACGGGCCTCCTCGTACTCACCGACCAGCTACTGTTTGTTTAGTGTGTGTCTGTAAATGTAGCCACTGTTAATTTGTCGCTGCAGCTATTATCATCATGTTAACTGAATGGGTCTGTTTGTGTTTTCTAACAGGAAATCAACAATGTGCTGAAAGGAGCTTTGGACCGACTGCACACAGACGACCCCCCTGCCAAGATGAGCAAAGTTAACTTCAGGTATGAGTGTGTGTGCGCAGGTGCGTTCCTGTGTGTTTATCGACGTCCTAGCAGCCGCAGACGGGTCGTACTGTAGCTGGGTACACTGCTGTGATGGAGACGGGGATTAACACTCCAAGTCTTTGTTTGACAGCCTGACGCTGACTGGATTAAACAGTCTCTGTGTGTGTGTGTGTGTGTGTGTGTGTGTGTGTGTGTCTGTGTCTGTGTCTGTGTGTGTGTGTGTGTGTGTGTGTGTGTGTGTGTTGGAACAGAGGTGAGTTTTGAACAGGAGTTCTTCCACTACTTTCACTCCTTTGAAGAGACACCATGAGTGGTGGCTGTTCTAATTACTGTGGCAACTTATTTGTATGGAAGATTGCATGCAAAGGGCTTTACTGTAAGACTGTAGGGACTAAAATCAATGAACAAAAGTCGAGAAAATAAAATACTGCAGCATGAAATGGTCCAAAATGGTTTCTAAAAGATTTAAGCCAAAATTCAGTGTACAGCCATTGTGAGTAGCTTTGACCAGGGGTGTCAAACTCATTTGGCCCGTGGTGTAATTATATTTGGACGGCAAGATAATATCAAATTTCTGTTTGAGCTGGCCCGCCGGGTAACGCATGCAATGCTAATACTACAAATCCCAGAATGCTCTGCTAGTGCCTTGGCGAGTCAAGACCCGCATGCATCCCCTCCTCTGTTTTCATTCATTCACAACCTCATGCTACCAGTCACCTCGGGCAGATGTCAGACACCCCTCCCAAAAAATTGACTAAACGGAAGGTGGAAAACAGGAGCTTCCTAGACAGGTGGGAGACAGAATATCTGTTCACGACCGTAAAGGACAGACCTTTTTGTCTTGTGTGCGGAGCCAACGTGGCTGTAACGAAAGAATATAATATAAGAAGACAGTATGAAACGCAACACCACGACAAGTACAAGGACCTGGACATAAAGCAGAAACGGCGGAAGGTAGAGGAGATGAAAAGAAGTTTGGTTTCACGACAGACTATGTTCACAAAGGCCACATCCCAAAGTGAAGCTGCTGTAAAGGCTAGCTTTATTGTGGCTGCAGAGATCGCTAAATCAGCCCGACCCTTTACTGAGGGAGAGTTTGTCAAAAACTGCATGATTTAAAGTTTGCGCCGTTGTGTGCCCTAATAAAAGGAAGCAAGCATTTTTAAACGTGAGCTTGAGCAGAAACACCGTTGCTGATGGTACACGTGAGCTTGCCACCAATCTGCATGAACAGCTGATGGAAAAGGGAAAAGATTTTGTTGCATTCTTGTCATTGTTATTATTATTTTTGTTGTTGTTGGCCTGTGAAAAAAGTATTCCATTGAAAATTAACTGAAAAGGCTACAGATGGAGAAAGAGCCATAATATTATTTTTATTTAAGAAATGAATGCCACTGATGTGTCCTTTATTTGAAATTGAGTTCTCAGGTGTTTATAGTATTAAGCTTAGCTTGTTCCAGATTCAGTGTTTAAGTAAAACCTAAAAAAAGGTGCATTATTATATCTAGAAAGAAGGGAAAACATGCTTTTTTTCCCAATAAATATGAAATCTGGCTTTGTCCCAGTTTTTAATTTTGGCCCACTGTGTATCTGAGTTTGACACCCCTGGTCTAGACGATGAATTGTTAGGGACAATAATATGTTAAGTAGGAAGGCTGCACCTAATAATGTTCAATATTGATTAGTTTCTTGATTTGATTAAACTCTTGTCAGTCCCACTGGGACACCAGTGGTCCACCCATTGTTTGAGTGGCTGACACATAACCAGTTGGTGTATCTCACTAATACTACTCATTGTAAGCAAAATGAGATATTATATTGAGTTATGTCCCACTGTCCTGAAGTAAGGCAATAATCCTCTATTGCTATTATATTTGCCTCTCTTGATTATTGGTTGTGATACTGTAATTAATTGACATCCGGGGTGTTGACCTTTGACCCCGATGAGGTGAGAAAGGTTAGTGACGGGTAAAAGCAAGAGAAACAGTCACTTTGATAAGAGGTTTGATGTTAAACTTCATCGATTGATTTGCTTATGTTACACTATCACACACACACACACACACACACACACACACACACACACACACACACACACACACACAGATATATACATAATCAACATACATGCATACATACACATTGTAGGCCTGGATAGGGTTCATTTAGCCTGTAAAATGTCAAGAAATGGTGAAAAATGGCCATCACAAGTTTCTAGAGCGACTTGACCCTAACTCTTCAACTTGCTTGTTGTGTCTGACCATCAGTCCAAAACCCAAAGATATTCCTTAATATGCCTATAAAAAAAATGCAGCCATGCTTACAGTCAATTAAAACACAATTGCTTTTAATGCTCAATTAGTTTTCTCTCATTAAACTACTTAATTAACCAAATTAATCAAGTCAGCACTAGTAACAAGATGATGTAACTACTTGTCATCATGTATTTAACATGTAGGCTAAAAACCTGCTCTGTGTATCAGCTGCATCAAATAGAAATCAGTCACTCCAGCAGCAGCACTGGATGACCTGTTTAAGCTAGACTCACTTGTCAAAAGTGTGTGTGTGTGTGTGTGTGTGTGTGTGTGTGTGTGTGTGTGTGTGTGTGTGTGTGTGTGTGTGCATGTGCGTGTGTGTGTGTGTGTGTGTGTGCGTGTGTGTGCGTGCGTGTGTGTGCGTGCGTACAGCTGAATGAGTGAACTGTATGTGGGCACGCACAGATGTCTCACCATGGCAACCTGCACTTTGTTTTGGGGCATGTCACTCGCAGACCTCTGGCATGATGGGAGTTTTATCTTCATTTTTCCAGGCTGTCAGTCACACAGTAGCCATGGCAACAATTAACCCCGTCGCAACCCCCTCACCTGTCTCCTCCAGAAAGCCCCCGCGACAAGAGCGATAGATAATTTTTCCACATCCTCTGCAGCCGACTGATTTTCCCGATTAGAAAATTGTTCTTTTAAAAATAACTCCAGAGAGAATCGCGGGTGCTCAGGAAAAGACTTTGGCTGGAGTGACAGATGGTGATTTTTCAGCGTTTTACAGTACAGTGGTGTCTTGACAGCACTGTTGTACAATGGAGGCACGGCTCTCACAGATAGTTTGCCATGGTAACAGATGGTTGGCGGTTGAAGAAGCCACGGTGAGCCAGCGAGGGCACATTTTCAGCGAGTCCCGGCCGCGAGTTTGTTAGGCACTCAGCCTCCGTTGATGTAGGGGAAGTCAACCAAGAGTGGGAGCTCCATCTGTCTCACTCCTCGTTGCTCTTTTCATCCGTCCCACTGTCCCTCGCTCACCCTCCTCCTCCCCCTCCCCACCCCCAGCGGAATGACTGTGTTTGTGTTTGTGTCAGTGGGATGCTAAAATGGGTGAGCGGGAGCTATTCTGCATATTAGCGTGCAGCGCTAACAAGCTGCGGCTGCCTCTGATGAGCTTGTTTGTGCCGCCGTTTGTTTTTTATATGAATGTAAATGGGATGAAGCTGTGTATATATGTGTGTGTGTGTGTGTGTGTTTGTTTGTTTGTTTGTGCCACACACACACTGTGTGAATACATCATTCAGGACCAGCTTTGTACCTGTGCGCATCCTGTTTACCATCACTGGAAGTAAATTCACTGTGTGTGTGTGTGTGTGTGTTTCACTGGTTGTGCACATGTGTAATTTAGATGTAACTGTGTTCCCTAATAGATGTAAATTTGATGCATGTGTGTATCTGTGAATTCAATTTAGAGGAATGTGACTGATGGTGTTTGTGAGCGTGCAATAGATGTAGCAATAAGAATGCAAATTGGATGTGTGCATGCGTGGATGTGTGTGTACAGTACGTGCGTGACCCTGGCAGAGGTTAACGAGAGCAGGGTGACAGTGACAGAGGAGTGTGTTATAATGATCCCAGCTAGTCCTTGGGCTTGTGTATGAAGCACACAAACCTTGAACTTCTCTGCCTTTGTTGTTTTTTTTTGGGGTTGTAGCTTGAAAGCTACGCGGGGAAACTGAGGAGAAAACAATACATTCATGTTCTTGGCCTCCACCTGAGATTGCTCTTTTTGGACTGTTCTTCATCACCTTGCCAATACAGTTCTGAGGCTGAAGGAGAAAAGTGGATGACAATGCCGAGAATGTCTTAGATGAGATCTGAAAACGCAGGAATGAGAAGTATTCTTTTGAGTACATGGGAGAACAAAGTATTCTTCTCCATTCACTGCACTGGCTGCCTGTTGCAGCTCACATCCAGTTCCAGACTCTGGTGCTAGCTTACAGTGAAGTGAGAGCAACTGCTCCTTCCTGCCTCCAAGTCATCTGCATGCGCATGGTTGCCTGCCCCCGACACTGCTTGTGGACCCTGTGGTCGCTCAGCTCAGTCAAAGGTCTTCTCAGTCCTGGATCCATGTTTGCGTTTCCAATTTTTTATTATATTTGTACTAGGTTGAAGGCACTTATTTTAAGTCAGAATCATCCAAATGAACTTATTTTTTTATATTTTCTTTGGGTTAAGTAAAAATGTGCTATTACTTTGGTCGTTTGTAGAAATTAGTTTCAGTATTTTTCATCACGGCAAAATGAGGCAGACATCTATCTACTGCCTTCTACTGTGCAATCAAGTACTTACTTCTGATTTAGGAAAACCTTTTGATTTTGAAAAGTTTGAGATATTTTCGTACTCCTTGCATCTGATACTGTTACTGCTTTCATCTGCAGCTCATTCCTATGTTTTTATGAAGTTCTAATTGCTCTTAATATGGACATTATAGTCCCTTTATTTGGTAGATGTTTTTAACCAAAGGGACCGAGAATTCCCTCAGGAGCAAATGGGGTTTCATCGTCTTGCTCCAGGACTTTACCACAAAGACTAGGGGAGCTGTGGAGGGACCCACTAACCTCACAATTCCTGGCCAACCTGCTTTAGGGGGAAAAAATGCAAAATAACTGGACAAAACTTTAGATTAGACTGTGTGCATAAACTCATTCATAAAAAAAAAAAAAAACCTTAATAATTTTAAAATAAGAATGTTTCAGCTTCACCAGAGTAGACACAGTGAGTACAAAATAAACAATGAAGCAGACTTGGTTGAAATTGCGTTGGACAAAAATGATGCCACGGTATCAACTCCTAAATGGCAATAAGTGCACAACCCAGTGCCAAAACAACAAAACAAAAACACCCTGCAAACATGACTCAAGTAGGTTTCATTTTACAGCAGTCAGAAGCTTAAAGCACAGCCTATGAATGCACTTTTAACACACAACACTGCTTCAGCGTACACGTTATTTGTAGTATTAAACATGCAGATAGAGATTGTCGTCTCCTGTGATCTTCCTCTACCATGCCCCCCCCCAATCATGCAGGTACCCTCTCTTAGCCGGCCGGTATCAAAAGCAGCCCTCTTCCTCTCTGTCTTTAGTCGTATTGTTGTCCTTGTTTATCTGCTGTTAAAAGCCACATTTCAGGGCCTCCGCAGAGATGATTAGGGAAGCTCATTCTGTTTCATCTCTATCTGCCCCTCTATCCGTGTTTCGCTTTTATCTCCTGCCCTCTTCTTTTGTCCACCGGCTAGATTGCTTGTTTGAGACGCAGGTAGGTAAAGGGTGAAGTAGCCACCTGCGTCGCAGTCACTCACACACACTCATACACACACACACGTTTGAATGATGTTTGGCTGGACTACCTGTAAGCTAATTTGTATCCCTATCTGTGTTGCCCCGAGGAAAATGCAAATCGATTTTGAAGAGCTTGCACATAGAAAAGGGTGTGTGTGTGTGTGTGTGTGTGTGTGTGTGTGTGTGTGTGTGTGTCTGTGTGTTGTGTGTCTGTGTGTCTGTGTGTTGTGTGTGTCTGTGTGTCTGTGTGTCTGTGTCTGTGTGTTGTGTGTGTGTGTGTGTGTGTGTGTGTCTGTGTGTGTGTGTGTGTGTGTGTGTGTGTGTGTGTGTGTGTGTGTGTATGTGTCTGTGCAGCTGCATCAGCTTTATCATGGTGGTGTGCAATACATGATGCACACCCTCATTTTCATTGTTCTTTTAAGATGTCTTTGAGTGTTTATTTGACGGTGAGTGTATGTTTTGTTGGCAGCACCCTGACAAGGACTGTGGAGTTTCCAGGTGACTGGGGACCCCTCGGTATCCACGTGGTCCCCTACTGCTCGTCTCTCAGCGGACGGTAAGGATACACATATGGCACAAACACAGCCACACACTCTCCACCCTCTATATCCACTTGTAATCAGTCAGTAAGGAAAAGGCAGATGGCAATGTTGACTCATAGAGATGCATAAAGAATTCAAGCGCTGGCATGTAATCATGTGTGTGTTTACCTCCATCAGTTCATATTGACTCTCCACTATGTGTGTGTGTGTATGTTGCAAGGACCCTGGGCCTCCACATTAAAGGCATCGAGGAAAACAGCCGCGCCAAGAAAGAGAACATCTTCAAGGTGGACGAGTGTATTGTCCAAATCAACGACACGCCACTCCAGGACAAGACCTTTGCACAGTAAGTGTGCTGCCCCGGGTGTGAATGAATGAATGAATGAATGAATGAATGAATGAATGAATGAATACACAGCCCTGCTTTCAGCATTTGTGGGAATAACGTCTTCCCTGTTTATGTGAGGTACCCTGCCACCACTGTAGCGAGGTACCTCACCCCGGCACTCAGTTTGCTTCCTTTATCAGCCAAAGACAAATCCTTCTCATTCTCTCCCTTTCCTATCTCCCCACCACATCTACTCTCACAGAAGAGTGCATGTGTCTCTTTCTTTCTCTCTGATACTAATTTTTTCCAGCACACACACACACACAAACATACACACACCTCTTCATCCCCCCCGTCCCCCTGTTCTTTCTCTATTTTCTCTGTCCTCTCTGTGGTGGAGCTGAATGGGTCCATTTAACTGCATCCCACTGTGTTGTCTGTGTTGTGTGAATGTTTTGCTGATAGTAGTCTATTAAAGCTGCAATAGCTGCTGTAAGGTCTCCCACATCTGATAGGGACCACAGTGTCCCAAACCAGCTGGAAGAGTCACTCCGTGCTTGATCCAAATTGAAATACAGCTCCATTAACGACACACAAGGCGCACTCGCCCTCCTCATTCTCTGACTGTCTGTGCACTCCTTCTGTGTTCTGCTTGACTTTCTTGGTCTCTTTTGCTGTTTTACAGTTTTGTAGTGTTCTACAAGGCAAATTGGCTCAGAGCTTAAAGTGATCAGTGTGTATAATTTAAGTGAACATGGCTTCAGCCAGATGTCTCTCCGAGTTTTCCACTTAACTTTCAATTGCATTACTAAAGGTCCAGTGTGTAGCTCTATTAGCAGAAATATAATATAATATTGTTTTTGTTACCTTAGAATGAGCCTTTTATATCTACAGAGGGTCATCTTCTGGCAGAGTCCGCCATGTGTCTACAGTACAGACAAAAAAAGCTCTAAATAAGGACTTTCTTTCTTGTTCAAGTTTAGTGTCCACTGTAGTTTCTCCTACACGCTTCGAGGGCCACCAGTATTCAGTTTTGCAATTTCACTGCTAGATGCTACTAAAACCTACACGCTGGTCTTTTAAAAGGCGAAATCGTAAATATTTCTAATTTCCTCAATTGTCCTTGTTTTCCCTAGGTCACAGGAAGTGTTCCGCCAGGCCATGTCCACCTCTTCCGTTCGCCTGGAGGTCCTCCCCATGGCCAGCAAGCCGCGCTACGAGAAGAGCCTGATTGGTCAGCTCTTTACCGGCGACGGCAAAGACACCCCCACAAAGAGTCCGATGGTGACCCGCGCTAAAACCGAACCCCAGCCGGAACCCAAACAAGATACCAAATGGAACACAAAACTGGAAGTGAGGCGACCGGAGGCGCGCACCAGGACCCCAGAGCCAGCTGCGGTCAACATGCCACCAGTGGAGCTCCAGTCTGGGCATGGCTCCTTGGAAAGAGTCTCCCCCGCGCCTCTAGCCAGTGCAGCGAGCTCCTCCCCGACACCCAGGACCCGCAGCCAGAGCCCCCTGGCCAGCAGGAGCCCTGTTCCGCCAACCCTGGCCAACCTTACCAGCAGGAAGGGCGGCAAGAAGATAAAAATTGATCTGAAGAAAGGTAAATGTGCTGCTGAGTGCCCATTTCATTTTCTGTTCTATCAATGATTCCTGATATTGGACTTAAGCCTCTTATCAAGCTGCAATGGAATACCTCTTTTTCTTTAGGAAATAATGTATAGCTGTTGTTTTTAAGATTTTTGTAACACTTGAAATTGTTTTTTATCATGTACCTCAGTTTGTTTCCTGTTGTCTGTGATTTCAAATTGGCGAGGCCATAAAGTTACAACACAACAATAATCTATATGAAAAGTTAAAATTTGTACTACACGTGTAAAGCTCGCTTTGTCTTATTCCTTTCTTGTCCTCCTCTAACTCGCTAAGGACCTGTTCTCAAGGTAGTCGTGTGGTCTTTTTGAGGACATCCATGCTTATTTATAGCTTTTATCTTCCAGGTTTGTTTTCCTGATGCAATAACAGGTGAACTCAAAGCTGTTGAGCAGCTGATTTGGAAGTCCTGAATGCTATATTCTCCACCGGCACATAGATGTTTTTGTATTATTGATTTTTTCAAAAGAAAAAAGAAAAGGGAAAAAAAAAAAAAGTCCTATATAAAGCTTTGGACCACTGAAAGCAATTTCCCTCCATATTGAAAGTAACTTTCCATTCTGAAGATACTTTTCATTTCTTATCTTGCAGGAGAACCTCACATACCGTCGGGTTGTTTTGCTTGTAGAATTTAACCCAGACTGAATCAGTCTGGCTTCCCAGCCGCCTTATCTCTTATCCTTCTAAAACACATCAGTGCTGGAGCGCTGATGTGTTGATAGCACTGGAATAGGTTTGCAGGACTGTGAATAGGCTCTGTTCTAGCAACCTGTAGTGTTATGGGGCATTGAAAGGATGGCTGTAATTGGGCTACATACACACACAGACACACGGACACACTCACACTCACACTTGTTACGGGGTACCCAGAGAAAGGCAAGAAGATACCCAGATGAAAGGATGGAAAAAATTGGGCTCCACACTTTCCAGCTCCAGCTCAAAGCTCTATTCACAGCTGTTTTATTGTTAGTTTCTTTCTTTTCCCACCACCTTTTCATCCCCCTAATTTTCTCCTCCTTTTCCCTCCATCCTTCTATTGTACGATTTCTTTTCCCCCCACCGTGTCTCCCTCGATCCCTTTCACTTGATGCAAGATCAGAGCAGAGGATATTATGGGGTCTCTAACACCCTCTCCCTTGGCAACAGGCTCTTTCTCTCCGTGATTGACAGGCGGTGAGGTTTAGGTGCGCTAATGTAGGGCAGGCAGAGGCTTAGCTTGGAGACCAGATAGCATCGCTCACCGCCTTTAGTATGCCACGCTGGCTTTGCTCTCCCCGCACGCGTACACACACACACACACACACACACACACACACACACACACACACACACACACACACACACAGAGCGTGGCACATTTCACTCATGGCTTGGGGCTTGTGAGGCCGTGAAAAAGGGAGAGGGTGGAGGCTCTGGGGGTTGATGGCTCATGCATGTGTATGTGTGGCCTCAGAAACACACACACACACACACACACACTTATAAATGTATACACACAGATAAACGTAGTCTCACACCCAAAAGGAAAATCTTTGTGGAAATCACGTTGCATCCCCAGGGAGGGAAGCTAGAGACGGGAATAATATCTCTCAGGTTCTTCTCTCTCTCTCTCCGCCCCCCTCTCTCTCTCTCTCTCTCTCTCTCTCTCTCTCTCTCTCTCTCTCTCTCTCTCTCTCTCTCGTTCGCCCCCACCTTCCTCTCATCTTCTCCCTCTACCTCCCTTCATCAGCCACCGTTTGGCCTGCTCACACGTGAAATTAAAGGCAGAGTCTGTCTAATCCGGCTAGGAGAGAAGCCTTCTCCCGTCAGCTCAGAGGCTGAGCCAGGCAACAAACCCCCCAGAGGGAAACAGGCACTTAAACAGTAGTTAATGTGGAAGAAGATGCTAAAACCGCAGACCGGGGTTCAGAGGGCCAGGAGGGGAGGAGAGAGGGAAAAACTCGAGTGGAGAAGGAGAAAGAAAGGAGAAAACTGAACTGAGAGACTGGAGGGAAAATTCAATTAAAACGAAATTAGAAAGTCATAAAATACAGAGCGGTTGATGTCCCTGATGCACACCGTGACGCAGGCTGCTTTCTCCCCGCAGGCACAGAGGGTCTGGGCTTCACCGTGGTAACCCGGGATTCCTCGGTCCACGGGCCAGGGCCAATCCTGGTGAAGAACATCCTGCAGCGCGGCGCAGCAGTCAAAGATGGCCGCCTGCAGCCCGGAGACCGCATCCTGGAGGTAAGGCAAACCTCAGCCTGTTGATCTCCAGCTGAGTAGAAAGCCAACAGCCTCTGTTAGTGGTAACATCATCATTAGGAGCAGGAAATGGAGCTCGCCGGCACCCCTGCTGGTTGAGCGGAGTAGTTGCACTTTCCTGAGAAAATGTCCAAAGAAATGGTCTCTGAGAAAGTTGTGGTGGAGGCAGAAATCTCAAACTATAAATCTGAAAACAGAGACAGAAGCCTCTGGTCCTCTACAGCTGTAGTTTGATATGTGTTAGTGGATAATACACACTTTAATCTGCCCTGGTGTATGTTTTTTCCCTGTGTGTGTGCGTGTGCTTGTGCTTGTGCGTGTGTGTGTAGGTGAACGGAGTAGACATGACAGGCCGCAGCCAGGAGGAACTGGTGGCCATGCTGCGCAGCACCAAGCAGGGAGAGAGTGTGTGTATGGTGGTGGCACGGCAGGAGGACATCTTCCTGCCTCGGGAACTGGTAAGTACACAGAAAACAGCATCCATGTCCTCACACAGCATCACACAGTGTCCCACATTTCTTCTTCTTATGTCATTTCTCTTGCTTTTGTTCATCTTTTGTCTTCCTTTGGTGGTCTGCCTCCTCCTCTTCATCCCCCTCTCACTTTTTTAAAACATTTTCCTCACATTGTTTCAGTTTTTCCCTTTTCTCTCTTTACGTCGATGCCCTTTTGACTACAAACACCGCACACGCACGCCCAGAGCACGCTCTGGCCTTCCTGTCCCACTCTGGTTTGTTGACACAGCGGCACTACAGGAAGTCACACACACGAGGCACGGCAGCCCCCGCAGGAAACGTGCAGGCATGTCCGCGCATGTCGACACCACCGCGGGTGTTAATTGACCGTTTACCTGCAGCGGCTGACGGGGTCAGAGGTCTGTGAAACTGACACAGTTTGACCCAGCCTCAAAGGGGCCATTTTATCAATAAACACACACTCTTAAACATATATACACACACAGCCAGGTGGCCCCATGGAAGTCGCCCGCTCTTTTGTAAATGATGTTTTCGCCCGTGCGCCTCTGTTCTCTCCCCTCTGTCCTCTGTGGTTATTCTGATTATTCCCTTTCCGTTACTTCAAAGAGCTCTTGAGAAAGACGCGCGGGGCTTTGTAGTGACTGATGCATATTCACACCTAGAGTGGCTGCGCACACACTCGTGCACACAAACTCCTAAACACCTAGTCCTTGATAAAAACTTGAACACCAGTGCTTTGTCTATTGCACGCTCACACACACACATACATGCGCACGCAGACGAACACATCGCGCAGCCTTTAAACAGCCAAGTTACTGCTTCCGAAAATAGTTTGCCCTCATTAATGGCCCAGCAGTCTTGGCATAACAAGTGCACTTTGAAGAGCCTCTACAGTCTTCATCTAAAACTTGCTTGTATTTGTGCATTAGAGAGTTAAAGGGAGAAAGGGGGGGAGGAGGAGGAGGAGGAGGTGGGGGAGGTTGTGGAGAGGCAGAGTAAGAAAGAGAGCCTTCACTCCTGTCTCTGTCGAGGCTGTTGAAGTTCTCGGTGCCCCGCGAGATCTGGCCCTTATCTCCAGCACAGTCCTCCACCTCAAAGGCAGTTTGATGTCCCCTAAGTGCACACACACACACACACACACACACACTCTTGCATATTTACAGACACACCACATACAGGCACTCTAGAGGTTCATTGAAAAGATGTGTGGACCCTCAAAAAGCAAAGGATTACATAAATACAGAGCCACAGAAACTACAGCCGAGAGAAAGTTCATCATTAAACGTAGCCAAATGAGCACATGCAAACACACACACACACACACACACACATACACACTGGCACGTACTGTAGTAGGCAACAAGCACACCCAACAGATATATGCGGCTACATGACTGGTTCCAGTTTACAGCGAAACAAAATCTACACCCCGCTGCAAAATACAAACCCACAAAGAACTGTTTTACTCCCTTTTCTCTTTCTTTCTGTCTTCCCTTTTTCTCCTCTCCTCCTTGGCTGTTTTTAATTGCTCGACTCTTTTCTCCCGCTGCTCTAAATTGTAGTGGAATATTATGTGGAGCGCTAACAAGGAGCGGCTCGCAAACGATTTGGTCGCACAAAAGAAGTAATGATGATGGAGACGCATTAAGTCGACACGGCCATCTGCCTCTCCCGCCGCACGAAAAAACGTTTGCGCTGAGGTGTCTGTTTGCCCGTGTGTGTGCGTGGGCGGCCATGAATATTTAACATAATCATAACATCTTAAACCTACCTTTTATATAGCATATTTGTTAAAAATAGCTATCAGATGCAAATCTGCAGTTAATTATCGCAGTTTTACATTGAGTAGCTGCTGAGATTAATTGGCTGAATTACAATACAGTCATCTTTGAATTCCTCACTGTTGCTGCTACAGATAATGAATCTACAGTATCAGCTTATTGCATACATCAAGGTTTAATTTGATCTAATACAGGAACATTTTGTCCAGCTGAAGGCATTCACATGATACTAGATGTTTGCTTTATTTTAATAAAGATATATCAGATTAGATATCTGGGGCCATTTATGACACAATTTGGTGATACGATCAGTAAGAAAGGGTTGTTTACTCTGTTCCTGACTGTGCCTGCAGGTGGTGCAGTAGTAAAGACCCCCCTCCCTCTCCTCCATGGTTTAATCCCAAAAAAGCCTCTTGTGTGTCTCACCTGTCCAGCTTTTTTGTAAACTCTCATTAAGTGTTTGGACCACCTACAGAAAGTGTCTGAACGCACTTTATTCAACCCTGTTATTGTCCGCAACCTGGAAACTCGTAAACAGGTTTAGGGATTATCAGCAACCTGGTTTAACACAGCTCCATTTCTGCTGGATGAACCCGATTTCTTGGTCATGATTTTTTACACACGTGGGTATGGGCATGACACAGACTTCATGGAAAGTAGCCGTTTAGAAGGATAAAGAGAAAGATCATTACTCTCTCCAGTGCCTCCTTGTATCCAAAATAATTAAATCCAACGTCTGACTGAACCTGAAACTGACAACAAAATAAATAAGTCCAAGGAAGTTGGCTTTCACAGCTGAACAGTAGACTGTTTGTGAAAGCGCGTGCTCCCACTACCAACCCTGCTCTTTCTCTGAGTTGTTACTCCAACAGAAATTAAAAAGAAAAGAACCTCTGTGGGCTGCAGCATCTTATATCACTCTTACACTTAAAAATATGCCAGTAGGGGAGAGTTCTCATACTTGACCGGTAAACAGGTCCTGGATTCTCGTACGCAGGTTTCAGCACTCCAAAGTCTGATCCAAACATTGAGCAACTTTCAACAGATGCTAATTAGAAATATTATTATTATGTAACTCATTATGCAAAATTATGGTTGCTGTTATTATCATTACCTTGCTTTATACTAAAGACCCTAAGAAGGTTACCCTTTTCCCCTGTGTCCTGCAGCCTGGGCATCCTGAGGGGAGCCGCTCAAACGCAGGGAACAGGACGTGTGAGGCGTCCTGCCAGCTGACCTTGTTTACCAAAGTCACCATGTCTTAGTGTGCTAGCATGCTAGAATTTTCTGTACCAAATTTCACGCTAATCCATCCAAAATTAGTCTGGATATTTCAGTCCGGACCAAAGTGGGTTGGAACGACCCGACCAGCCAACACTGCCATCCCCAGAGCTCTGTAGCTAGTGTGGCTAAATATAAGTGAAGGAGGAGGGAATGTCCAACCACTTGGACTGCATGTGGTGCACTCGTATCAGCAGTGATACACTCAGTAATACTTGACTGAGGGACGCTGGGAGATTAGAGGTCAGCTCAGCTAAACAACGGCAACCCTGAAGCTGGCCAGGATTTTCGATGTCTCACTTTGACTTCAGCAGAGCAGACACTCGCTGACACAGCAGCAGGTCATCTGGTTAAAAGGCAAGGTTCTGTCCTCACCGCGTCATCCTCCTGCCAACCAACAAGATTTATATTCTCCGCTCTAGCATTCATACAGTCTCCTTTTTATCCTCCTTGTACAAGTAAAACAGACTTTTAGAGGAACTAGTTGAACTGTTGATTGATTAGTTTCAATGGAGAGGGTATTGATGTTTGATGTGCAGCGTGCGGTTCTGTGAAAGCACTCGGCAGCGCTGGCAGGCATACTGGTCTCTTTCAGTCAGAAGAATAACAATAAAGCCTGTGAATTAGCCTCATTATTAGGAAACAAAGGGAGGACAATTTTCTACCCCATCTCCTGTACTCTCACACACACTCTAAGTAATTAAAAAGTGATAACTTCTAATCACAGTTTCATTCCTGTCAGCATTTCTGCGTCTCCAACGCGCGGCGCTCTCATTATTTCACGGGGCCTCGTTTTGTTTCAGGGCGCAGATTATAGAGATGCTTTTGTGATGTGGAGAGTTTTTTTCTTTTTCTTTCAGAGGGTATATTTGTGTGAGTGAAAGTGTGTGTGTTTATGTGTGTGTTTAGCAGAATTATGAGTTAAGGCAAGGACAGGATGGAGGGGTCACTCTGCACATGGTTGACCCTCAGCTGCCAGCAAGCCTAGGCCAGTTCCCAGGAAAAAGGGGGTCGTCAGGCAGAAAGTGACTTTGCTGTGTTGCACTCTTTTTTTCTGCCTCTTTCCCTTTCTGTCAGTCCGTCTTAGAGCTGAAGCTCTTCTTTCCTTTTCATTATCCTCCCTCCGCCTCCAACACACCCGAATTATCCCTCAATCAGTCATTTTACTTTCCTTTCTCTTCGTTTGTGAGGTAAAGGTGTAAAGCGGCGAAGAGGCAGACATTAAGGCGATTAATTGGCAGCTCCGTCGTCGGCGCCGAGCGCGGCGAGATCTCATCTTAATTGAATGTCGCTCTCACTGCTAATCCCACCGCTTTGAAACCCCCCATTTAGAAATCCTCAGCGACAAAAGGCTCTGTGTGTAATCGCTGTGTATCACCCCCTCTTCGCCACCCACCCCGGGGTAAGAAAAAGCTCCTTTTTTGTCTCCTCATTTGGGTGTTGAAGAGGGTGGTCTCTCTCCTGGCTAAAAGCTTGTTAAAGAGCCATTGCTGAGGGCTAACAGCGGAGGGAGGAGGGGTCGCAGAGCGGAGCCAAAGGGTCTCAGCCACCCTGGGGATGCAATCTGCCCCCGAGGAAAGGGCATTAGAGGGGATATTGGTGTGTGTGTGTGTGTGTGTGTGTGTGTGTGTGTGTGTGTGTGTGTGTGTGTGTGTGTGTGTGTGTGTGTGTGTGTGTGTGTGCCTGTGTTGGGACCACCACTGAGATCCAGTTGGTTGTGTAAATAGATCTCAGCAGTGAGATACAATAGATAAACATTTTCAATTTGTGTGTCTTCACATTTTCATAACTTCACAACTATGATAAGCCTCCAGAGCATGCTGCGCTCTGATGTGGCCACCTTCACCTTGTGTGTTATTGTAGTTAGATCACAGAGGTATTTAAAACCTCCCAGGTTGCCACCTGATTCCTCTCAAGTGTCTGTCGAGCAGGAAGTGGCGGATTGTCTTTGTAATTCCTCTGGTTTGGAGAAACAGCACTCTGAAATGCCTTGTTGATAAAAATAAGCCCTGACTGAAAGCTTTGTGTTATACTGAAATAGAAAACAGAATCCATGACTTTTGTAGGCAGCTTTTCATATCAAGGAGTGAAATATGAGCATCACTATGAGCAGGTGATTATCACTAGAGCCAGAATCAGTTTATCAACGATCTATAGATATTGTGTGTAAGCTGGCAAGAATCCAAAAAGAGGTGAGGAGACGCCTTGTGTCTAACAGTTAAACTTTTAAATGAACAATATTCAACACCATTGCTCGTTGACTTTGGAAAACATCACGCTTTTATTGGACCTAAAAATAAACCAACTTGAAATTCCTTGAAACTGAAGTGTTTCCAAACAGCTGAATTGGTTTTACATTTCATGGCTCTGTTTCCGTCATTTTGGCTCAAGCTCAACTAAACATGCCACAGCCGGGCTCAAGAGTGTTGGGGAGGGGGCAAAGTGCCCCACTGTAACATAAAAAGGGTACGCTGGATTTATTTTATGGATTTTATTTTTTATTTATTTAACACAAGATGAAATGTGAGCGTCAATGCAAAATTTATCTATTATCTTGTTTTCATAATCGTTTGAAGCCAAAGTCATAACTGTAGTTCTCACCATGGCGCTCCACCAGGTGAGCTACTGGGCCCGAAGCGTTTCCTAACCAAGTCATTTTTGTCTGTCTTTCTGTAAAGGTTGTCTGTGTGTGTTGTAAGGTACTGACAAATGATGTCGCCCTGTATCTAGTATCTGTTGGGCTCTAATTAAAAGGCACTCTGTCATCTAGTTTAAAATCCAAAATAAAGGGTGAGACTAAATACTGTGTGTTTGGATCAGTGTGTTACAGCGCCTGCATTTTCTTTAACACCGACACAGACGGCCCTCCAGGTTTAGCTCCTTTACTGGACTGAGAGCTCTGACTCACACTTCGGAGCCGAGCACCCCTCCTGGCCTCGAGGCTTTAGCAGGCTGTTGTTTTAATTAAGCACCCAGACTAAGCAGCACGGAGCGGTGCTGACAGAGGGGGACAGTATTCAGGGGCTGGTGGATCACAGCGAGGTTGAGAGTGAGCTCCTGCGGTCACAAATTTTTACAAAATTATACTGGAGGACACGTTTGACTCCCACATCCTTCAGCATTGTGCCACGACGAGAGAGAGAAAACGCGAACATGGATTCTTGATGCAGTGGCGGGCGAGGTGCCTGATGTAAGGCTCAGCAATCCCGGTATGGGTACTCAGATCTTTAAAGCTGTGACAGCCGGTATGGCTGCTATAATGTATATGCACATTCCTGCATAATTCACTTTGACATTTTTCTTACTTTGAGTGGCTGTTGTCTTTGTATTTCCTGAACCTCTGAGCTCCTTCCAGTGTCAACCAGAGCAAAAAAAAAAAAGATGTGTGAACATGCATAAACACACACCCTCTTAACCTTCCATCCCTCCTCTTTAAAGAAAAATAAGGCTCTGGAGTGAAGTGGTGCTGAGGCGTCTCCCCTCCACAGGCCCTCTCTTCCCTGGGTGACTGAACCTGGCATGTCCCCCCCCCAACCCACCCACTCTCCATTTTGCCATCCTCTAATGACAGACATTTTCCTGTTCTCTTTTGTTGCCTTTTGTCTCCCTCCTTCCCTCTCCTCCATCTTATTTTTGCCGCCGCCGCCACGGTCATTTTCTTCACATTAAATAGCAGTGGGTGAGGTGCGGCGGGTGGGTGGCTGAAAGATGTAGAGAGAGAGAGTGAGAGAGAGACCTGTAGAAAGTGGAGATGGAACGAGAGTCTGGGGAAAAGGAGAGAGTGAGAGAGAGACGTTGAGAAAGAGGGAGAAGGGGGAGATGTACAGTGAGATTGAGAGATTAGGACGAAATGTAAAGATTGAGGCGGGGGGTGGAGGAGGAGGGAGTGTGAACGAGAGAAGCGGGTATACCTCAGGGATGGGTTATTACTTTTAAATGCTCCTCTGCGCCGCCATCCTCTTCCCCTCCTCCTCCTCCTCCTCCTCCTCCTCCTCGTCTTCTTTCCTCCCCCTTCCTCCCCCACTGTGCTCCAGGAGGAGGTATGAAAAGGTTATTATGTTTCCTTTAGAAATGGCTCGCTCTCCGTCTGCGCCTTTCATCTCCAAATGGAATAACCTCTCTACAGTGGCTTTCTTCTTTTTCTCACTACACCTTCATCTCTCTTTCCAGTACACAACACCTGCTCCTCTCTCCCTATTTTCCTTTCTCTTACTGCCTTCACTTTTTCTTCCCAGCAGCCATCTTCCGTCTGACTCTTTAATCGGTTTCTCTCCCCACTCCTGTTTTTTTTTTTTTTTTTTTCTGTTTTTCGGTGTTGAGTATAATCAGTGTGGTGTAGGAGCATGCATTATCAGTCAGTGCATTAGATACGGTGCTCCTACCTCAATCGTCAGCGATCATACACTGCAGTTATTATGTAAAGCAGGTATTAGGTGTGTATATGAACAGGCCTCTCCTGTCTTAAATAGTAGCTTTTTACATAACATTAAAAATAAAAATCTGAACTTGGATAAAAGTGTTCGTCCTTCCTTCTTTTTCTGTCTTTCAGAAAGGCGAAGAGGCCGGCAGCGTGGTGTTGGAGGACGGCAGGGAGCAGCTGATGTACGAGATCCCCCTCAACGAAACGGGTTCGGCCGGCCTGGGGGTCAGCCTGAAGGGCAACAAGTCCAGAGAGACCGGGGAGGACCTGGGCATCTTCATCAAGTCCATCATCCACGGAGGGGCCGCTTACAAGGTAGAGAATGCTCTGTTGCCTGCACTGGACCTTTAGCAACCATTTTTGGGTAAAAAAAAAAAAGTTATATATGGCACTCCAGGTAATGTCTTCTGGAGCATACGTTACCCAAAATGCAACTTGACCGCCTACAGTTCAGTCCGACACTAGTGGTATCAGACATACACAGTTATACATTTTTAACAGAGTGCATAGTAACATCTAAAAGTGCAACGTGCTAGAAACATCCATATGGAAATCTATTAGCAGACTCTATTAGCTTGAGTTTTGTAGTCCATCTGCATTTAAAGGATATATCTGGTTTGTTGTAACCCTGGTCTGATTTTCATAGTTTCAGCCGTCCTTCCAATCAGTTATAACAACATTGTTCTCAACAAGTTAATTGCTGACATCTGGGAGCTCCACTGGGAACGGGGGAAAAAACTTATGGTAAACTTTACCATCATTTAATCACTGTAAACGTCCAGCGCACTTTACAGACCAACTTTCTGGCTCTGTGTTGCCCTACCACAATACAATAATTACAATAATATGTGTGCTCACTTTCAGTTCTACTTCAGTAATCTAGCCAAACAGCTGGATTATTATCACCCTGTTTCCTACCCTTCTTTTTCACTGATGTCACTGGTTTTCCCACATCTCAGCAGTTCATTTGTTGAGCGAAATGCTACCGTAACCAATAGAAATGACAGCCAAAAGCTGCGAAAATAAGGTCTGAAGTTTCAAGGGTCTGCCAATCAGCCTGTATGAAAAGAATAGAAAGCAGTGGCTGCCTGGAACAGTAGGAAAAATACATCTAAAAATAAAACAAATCCTGCATTTGAAACTGAAATGCAAAAATCCAAAGTATACATTATATTGTCCTCTAAGGCAAAAAACGCCACAGCAGTGACTGTCTGACACTAAAGATAAAGACAAAATAAGAACAAAATATAAACGCTATCTGGCAGATTTATGCTTTGAACATGTGAAAATGGTGCGCGAAACATCTCATCCCTCTATTTTAATATACAGATTTCTATAAAGTCCCGAAATGCCTCATTAGGCTCCTGCCATCACAAACTCCTTCTGGTGCCTTAAAGAGCTCCGTAAAAATACATCAAACATGAGAAATGAGAAGTGTTGCAGGAGCATTTTGAAAACTGTTTTCTTTAGTCAGATGTGTGTGAGTTTCTTGTGACTTTATCTAATCAGGGCCTTTTTGAATTATTGTTTTATCCAGAACCACCACTCCAAACCAGGGAGTGTTTTTTTGTGTGGGAAGCTCAGAGTGTTTTTCTTTTTTGATCTTTTTTGCGTTTTTTTTTTTTTTTTCTTTCTCACCTCGTTGTATTTGTCCACACTCCTTCCCCCTTCTTTCATCTTCTGATGTCTTTCTCTGTTGTTTCCTCCCATCTCCTCTTCCTTTGCGCTTCTCCAACTCATTTCCTGTCTTTCTCCGAGGCCTCCGCTCTCAACCCTTGACCCCCATTGACCCCCGAGTGTCAGCCGCCTTATCTGTATCACTCAGTCACCCACTTCAAGTTGTGAGTGCATCAGGAAAAAAAAAAAGAAAAATCCTGTTTCAGCACTTTGGAGATTCCTTCACTTGGCCTCAATATCTTCCCTCAACCTCACATGTCACAACTCCTCGTGCCCCCTGCTCCCAGATCTGCGCTGCCCAACGAGGAGGCACAGAGACGAGTGTGGCGTTGTAGATAAACGGCTGGTTTGGGATCAGGGCCGCCAGACAGCGGCTCCCCAAAGTGCCTTCAGAAGTAGTTTTTCCGACAGCTGCCGATGCGGATAGCGCTCAGACAGAACGGCCCAGTAAGATCTCCGGCTGGCTGCGAAACAGGTTTCTGGGACAAGATACCACATAAGAGGAAGAAAGACATGAAGGAAAGAGAGAGGGACACTAGTGAGGGAGGGGAGGGAGGCCATTGAAAGAAGACAGCGGGTGAGCGAGCGCGAGAAGGGAGGGAAGAAATGAGCGGTATCGAACAATAGAGAGGATGGAAAGAGGCGGAAGAAGAGGAGAGAAAGAAAATTGAAAAGTGGAGACACTCAGCAGGAGCACAATACACAAGAGTGTGTGTCTGTGTGTCTGTGTGTCTGTGTGTGTCTGTCTGTGTGTGTGTCTCCTCCTCAATGCTGATGCATGCTAATGAAAAGCAGCTAAAGGGGCCTGATGAGACTTTGCAGTGCCAGGCCGGTACAGAGGAGGGAACCCGGGCATCCCCTGAGTCTGACACACACACACACACACACACACACACACACACATTCACACAGCAGGCAAAGAGGGAGGAGATGAGGAAGATTCATGGAGAGATCTAACCTATTTCCATTAAAGAGCGTTGGCTGCCGTCAGGGCCCGGGGCCTCAATTATATAGAAAAAAAACATTCTTTGACTTTATTCCTGATCCTGTCATATGATCATTTCAAAGAGTATGCTAAAGAAAACAAATTAAAATTACATGTAGCGTGCTGCTGCTGCTCACATGGAGAATGAGGATATTAATAGGGAATATCACAGACAGCCGCCGATTTTGGCGTAAACATAAATTTTTGATGACAGCCATGGATTTGTGTGTGTGTGTGTGTGTGTGTGTGTGTGTGTGTGTGTGTGTGTGTGTGTGTGTGTGTGTGTGTGTGTGTGTGTGTGTGTGTGTGTGTGTGTGTGTGTGTGTGTGTGTGTGTGTGTGTGTGTGGTGCCATTCCAGACTGGCCCAGGCGGTGCCTTGTTAATGAGACGGGGTCAAAGGGCAGGGCTGACCCTAATGGACAGATCATGGCTTCACACACACAAATAGAGTCTTTAGAGAGTGTGTGTGTGTGTCTAAAAAGTGTCTTCACCTATATTGTTTTTTTTTTTTTGCCCTCTGCATTGCTCTCCTCATTTGATCCCCTTTCTCTCTCTCTCTCTCCTCCCTCCCTCTCTTGCTCTGTCATCCCGATCGCCCTCCCTCTCTCCCTCCAGGGCACTATTCTGTGTTGCCTCTCTATGAGAGGCTGCTATTTAAAACACTTAGAAGTGATTTAGTGCCCACGGAGGCTATTCCATTAGCTGCTCTATGTATTTATCATGGCTCTCCCACTCTCAGTAGATTGCTAACTCTACAATTTTCTTGCCTTCCCCCCTTTTCCATTTTCTACTCTACTTTCTCTCTCTCTCTCTTTGTCATTCTCCCTCTCATACACACATACATTTCACACCTCTCCCATTTTCTCCCCTTCTCTGTTCTTTTCTCTTAAAACTTTATTCATGGCCAGTCTTGTGTCTTATTTTATGTAAGATCTGCTCTCTTTTTAATACTCTCCCCTCTTAATACAATTTATTATTCCCGAGACATTAGCATAAGCGACATGAGCAAAACAGGAGTTCTTCAAAATGCTTCTAATGTGTGTTATCGCTGCAGTTCTAGTTTAGATAAAATGAAAATTCAATGTGGCCTTCACTTTGAAAATATCTAACTGCTGACTCACCTCATGCCACCGCCATCTTCTCCCAACAGGACGGTCGGTTGAGCGTCAACGACCAGATGATAGCAGTAAACGGTGAGTCGCTGATCGGGCGCTCCAACCACGCCGCCATGGAGACGCTGAGACGCTCCATGTCGTCGGAGGGAAACTACAGGGGCACCATCCAGCTCGTAGTGCTCCGAGCACCCAGACAGGTACAGCAGACGGAACTTGTACACCCCTTCTACTTTAAACATTTTCTGGAATATCATGGAAGTTTTATTAGTGTGTTTTACATGTTTTATATTTTGTTAAATTATTTCAACCTTGCTGGATTGAAAATCAGACTCTTGCTATTTGCAAAAACAACATTAACAGAAGTGAATGACATTTTGAGGTCATGGAAGTGCTCTAGCTTTATTTTGGAACGTGTTGGAAAAGGCAGGGAGGTTTGGCAGGAACCATGGCGGCTGTGTCATCTTACAGTCCTGCAGAAACCCGCTGAGAGAATAAAAATACATCTATATTGTTAATATTACCTTAATGAAATGTTAAAATTTAATATTCATGAAAAGGGCAGTTGAGTATCTTAATTTAAAGACAAATCTTTGTGTTTTTACCCTTTATTAAAAGGAAGTCTAACCTATAAATGTTACATTTCCATGTAAATACAGAGCTGTATAGCTGTTATTTATGTCAGTAAATTAAATTTCAAAGTTTTGGTGGATGTGGGGCCACATGTTAAAATTTTCATTTTGGTTGGATGAATTTGGTTACATGAAACATTTAGGGTCTCTTATACATTATGAAATGCTCTGCACAGCCCGATTAGTTCAAAGATTATTCATAAGTAGCCCCTGGAGTTTTGACAGCAAAATCAATGACATATCATCCGCATTAGGATCATGTCTCTCCCCTGCTGCTATCATTGAAGGCTCTACTGTACATACTGTAAGCAGCTGACCTATATGAGTGTCTGCAATGTGGAATGAGCGTGACTTCATCATCTGTTTACAAACCCAATGATTTTAGAGTGATAAAGATAAAGCACTCCTCAGCCCACTTATTGTAGTGAAGATTGTTGTAGCAATGCCTCAAACACCGTTGGATTAGAATAATGAAGACATCAAAACAAAGGCTCCGTTTGTGGCACTGACTGTTATGCTGTAGTGTTAAGTTTATAGCTTTAATTAAAATCTGTATTCTGTGTCAGTTTTCTTGCCGCAATCTAAGGTTGATGAGTCTGATAAGTCATCTGGCTGTTAAATGACACAACAATGACAGTGTTTTTATTTATTTATTTCTCAAATCATCCTCTTCTATTTGACTACAGATGGGTGGGGCCAACCCTGCACCCAGCACAGCCACAAACGGGTCTGCCGCCTATCAACCGAACACCCAAACGGGCTCCAGCAATCAGGTACGAGTGGGTGACGCCTTCCAGCAGCCGCCTCCGCCTCGCCGCTCCTCCTCCCTCCTCCCCACGCTGAGGAGGCGAGCGTCCGAGCCGCTGCCTCACAGCCACAGGCAGCGTTACGCGCAGAGGCCGGGGGACACGCACACCAGATACACCTACGGTTTAAACCAAAGGGAGAGGCGTAGCGGTTACACATTTGGCTTGGCACAAAGGGATGTTGAGTACAGCGATGATGATGCACAAAATGATGCGTACAGACCGGCCACGAGGTACGAGTTTGGGTTCGTCTCTCACAGCCAGACGCTGGGCAGCTTCAACAGACCCACAGAGGGAAACTTAAACAGGGAGAGCTACGATTACGGATACACACACGGACACGCACGTAGCAGAACGCCTGCAGACATGCAGGGCCACACCACGCTCCATAACACACACAATCACCCGTTCAGTGACGCTCAGGGCAACACACACGGCCACAAGTCCAGGCACGCACGCAGCCGCACGCCGGACCCCATCCACAGACCCCACAGCTCTCAGGGTAACACTTACACTGAAAACATTAGAGCGATGGCGGGGCAGATGTACGGAGACCCACTCACACACAGCAGGATACCCCCCCGAACAGAGCAGAACAGAAACACACACAGACCTGCAGACCGATACGCAGACTCACACTCGCACAACTACGCACACAACCGGGCTCTCACCAGACACCACCACCTTCGGCTCTCTGGTGGACTCTGACACAGCGCATGTGTGTGTGCCTGAGTGTATGTGCTACATCGCGAAAGGGGTGCGAGTGACATTTTGGCTGCAAATTAAGAACACAGTTGAGCTTCTGCAGGTGGTTCAAAGAGCACATTTCCAATTATAAAATTAAAAAATGGGGATGAACCAAAATAATTCAAATCAGTGCAAAAAGTCATTTCTGCACCTTATTCCTTAGAATGCATTTAAGTCTCTAAAATTATTAACTTTAGACTACACCTTTTCCTCTTTTGCACCAAGTCCTCAATGTGTAAATACAGTCAGATTTTAGTGATCGATGGTGCTGAAGCATATTAATCTGGCTGAAAGCTTTCCCCTTTGCCAACACCACTAACTGTCACAGCATTAACTTTTAGCTCTCTTTTTAAAATATCACCCATAAACTCACAACGCACAATACTAAATTCTCCACTGTGCGGCCTTCTTTTCTGTCACATTTGTTTTAACTCACTAAAATTATCTGTTAACTCCGATTCTTTTTTCATAGTTTCTCTTCACACCACTGGCTTGTCTGCAGACTGTACTGGCTTAATCTGCTCTTTCCTGTTTTGTCTATTTGTATAAAGTTTTATATTAACTTTCCCTTTTTAATTTGCATATTTTTTAAGGGAATGTATCCTTGCTTTTCTGTCTCACCTGGCTGTTTCTCCTCTGTACAATAAAGCTAATCTGAAGCCTCCTGCATGCCTGTCTGTTTGTCTCTCTGTTGGGTTTTCAGCGGCCGCCCTCTCCTTTGCTCCTCTCCCTGTTTATTAAATGATATTTGCGTCCCTTTTCCCTCCGTTTTGGCCTCTGAGTCTCTTTTCTTTTCTGCCTTTGCTTTATCCTTTGTTACTCACTCCAAGCAGAAACCAGGGCACATTATATAAAAGTCAAACAGCTGGAAACTCCCACTAGACAAACCAACCTAAACCTACCAGACTTAACTCAATTAATAGTCACTCCAGCAGTCACGCATTCACATATATTGTATAATGATTATATTTCAGGAATACCTAACAACTGACACAAGAGTAGAGTCATGAATGCTCCATGTAGCTGTGAACACACTCCGTTTCAGATGTGATAAATATGTTAAAAATCAGCCTGCATGCAATGTGTTAACCTTTGCTTATTTATACCTCTTTCCTCTTTTGTGTGTTAAAGTGCTGTTGTTAAAAAAAACCCAGCTCATATAAACTTCCAAAAAAAAATGTCCTCACTTAGCAGCGGCAGCATTTGTATTCCCTGGTGGATACGTGAGCAACATTAGAATCAATCACAAAGCCACACAAGAAGTTTTGTTCAACTAACGCTTGAACAGCAGCGCAAATTCCCGGATGGACGTGGCGATGAAGATATCAAGCATGACAGACGGTGAAAAATAGCTGTTTCTTAGTTAAGTCAGTCTATTCAGCTCCATGTTGAACCGTGACTGATTACTTCAAAAGCTCATAAAGATGTTTCACAGCGGTTAAAGCTGATGCTTAGCTGTGTGTGTGTGTGTGTTGTGTGTGTGTGTGTGTGTGTGTGTGTGTGTGTGTGTGTGTGTGTGTGTGTGTGTGTGTGTGTGTGTGTGTGTGTGTGTGTGTGTGTGTGTGTGTGTGTGTGTGTGTGTGTGTGTGTGTGTGTGTGTGTGTGTGTGTGTGTGTGTGTGTGTGTGTGTGTGTGAGGTTCAGTCAGCCTGCAGATGAATGCTATCAAACCCAGTTCAAAGTTCAGTATATATCTACATAGTCCCTCTCCTGTCATCACTAAACAGGCAGTCGGGTGACACCGTGGGGAAGCGAGATAAAAAGCAAACCCCCCCCAGCCCCTCAGCGTCCTCCCCCCCTTCTCTCACTGTCTCTGTCTGGAGCTTGCTTTCCATTAAGGTTAGCCGATAGGAACTTAAATCCTAATCTCAATAAAATGACCACATTTACTTTGGTAAATGTAATTAAGTTCTTTCCCCTTAAATACATCAATGCATTAGAGTGTATTTCTCCTGTTGTGGACTCGACTGTGAGGTGATTCGTTGGTTAAACCTCCTGTCAGGGTTCGGGGTTGGGTACATTTAGGCCAGTAAGAAATCCGTGATATCAGTAATTTTCCATCCAAGTATTTTTTAGCCATGCTAGAGGTGTGGCTCTAGAAACCACATTTGTAGGTCAGTCAGTCCGCCCCTTTTTTTCCAGACTGAAATTTCCGGATGGATTGCCATTAAATTTGGCACAGACATTTCTTGTTCTCTTTTAGTATGAAAAGTAATAAAACATTTCCACTGGCGCCATCATTAGGTCAGAATTTTAATATCTCCGATACTCCAGTTTATGTAGTTTGTGTTTAGAGCTGATAGACCTTTTTCACAGCAGCAATTTTGACATGAAATAGTAGGGTGAAAAGAGGTTTTATTAAATAAGGTTCCATTCCATTTAGTGTAGCAGAGCCGTTCCAGTGAGCCAAGATGCATAATAGCATCACCCTTACTCTGTTTGACCTGAATGGAACGAAACCTTAATTAATATCACTGGTAACACCTGTGTTTACCCCACTATTTCATGTCAGAATGGCTGCTGTAAAAGTATTTTGGCTAGTGTTGCATTAGGCTGGTGGAAAACAAGATCCATGCCAAACATCAGCACATTAGCATTGTTATTGTGAGCATGTTAGCATGCTGACGTTAGCATTGAGACTAGATTAGAAAAGTTGAATGGAAAGAGCATAAGTGCTTGAACTTTCTACCATATCAGCCAATTCCTGAGTTTTGTTTTTTTGATAGATGTGATTTGATTTTCTCTTCGCAGACAAGAAGCCTTTTTATTTTCTCCCACACACGTGATGGAATTTTATGTTTGGCAAACGTTTCAAACATTTTCCTAGTCTTTGCTGGAGAATTAGACGATGACAGCTTGTCTGTTTTTGTCTCTCTCCCTCCTGTTCTCACCCGCGGTCATACAGTACTGCAAGATTTTTCACTGCCACAAAAACATCCCTTATAAAACATAATTGGAGCGCTAAACTGTAATTATTACTTCTTTATCCCTCAGTCTGTGGTGTAAACTTCATTTATATAGCAGCTTTCATGCATGTTAGTGCAGTTCAAAGTGCCTAACAGGTGACTGGCAAACTAATAAGTCTAATAATAGAGCAGAAAGATACAGTGATATGAAAGACAAAGAGAAAGAAAACACAATTACCCTTGTTTCTTTTGCTCTCTATCCCACACTAAGAGATATGTAGGTGGGGTGGGTGACACAGTAGGGTGAGGCATGGATAAGCCTCTCTCTCTGAAGCCTATTGTATGCAGCTGTAGGATGAGGCTGGCTGGATAGACGGACCCCCCGCCTGTTTACTTATTGTTGTGGGATTAAGATATCTGACTGCCTGTCTGCCAGGCTGCTTCAAAAGCCTCAGGCGAGTCGTCGTCAGTTTGTAGAGACTGAGGGATAGACGGACGGATGTACAGATAGATGGATAGATGGCTATGATATGATTTATGCATCTGCAGTAGAGCTGTCAGAACTTTTACGTCCAAATGCATACCCCACACATATATGAGCTCAAAGTGATTGACAGCTATGATGTAGTGACATATTAACATGTATGGTAGGTACTAATGATACCCCAGGGACTCCACAACACTGTGAATACACCCCATCCAACGCTTTGATATGACGAAGATACTGGAACACCTTTCATGATTGCACACTGCGTGACGGATTATTTTTTGTCACGCTTAAATAAGTTTATAGGTGTGTGTGTGTGTGTGTGTGTGTGACAGCTGTATCTCCCATCTCTTTGACCAGAAAAGGCTTCTTTTCATCCTCCACCACGAGCACTTCCAGTCCCTATCTCCATCAGTGGGGGGGGGTCCTTTGTAGTGCTGGATGGCTGTTCGATAACATGCCTGTCAATGCTCTCAGGATTATCTTAATTACTGTGTTTCCAATTGTGCACATGAAGAGAATAGCCATTTTTTTTGAAGTTACAAAGTGTTGAAACCAGTTTTCAAAAACACTGCCAAAGGCGTATCACTATATATATATTTTTTTATGCTTTTCTTGTAATCATGTTATTTTTGTAATCCACAATGAGATATTTCCCTCTTTCTGGACAAAAGATTTAGATTTTATATCTTCAAATTGTCAACTTGTTAAATATGAAACTGACAAAATAGTATCCAGCTCCAGTGCTGTATATACAGCAGCTGACTTGTGTCCTCTGACTGAACGTCCAGCTGCCATCAAGCAAAGGGAGCTTCTTTTGTCTGAACGGACGACAAATTTCTTCCTCAATTACGATCAACTTGACTATTTTGTGTTATTTTGTTCATCACCCACGCTGCACATCTAGTCAAAATCCTCAGGGGATTGTTCTATATCTGCTCCTATTTCCTCAAAGCCCTGTTCTCGTGTCACCATCTGAGGTGAGTCATAATTGACTGGTTGCCAGATGTGACTGTACCACTACAAATGTAATGTAAAAAAATCCATGTTGGACCAAATTGCTTTATCACCAAGAAAAACTCAAGATTTCTTTGCTTTGATCAGAAGTTTATCTACTCGTAATGTTCATACAGAATGGATCTTTGATATTGGTTAATTCAGTCGTGTAGATTAGACAGTTTCTGTAAGCATGGTTGGGTTTGTAGGGATTCATTCATATAGTAAAACTGATATCAAAGCCTGCTTGTTTAGTGCGTTTTGGTTTGGTTCATTTTAGGCTGGTGTGATTTGACTGCTTCGGTCACACTCTCGCGCTGAGACCACTTGACATGGTGGGTTTGGTCCACGTCCAAGTGGTGCGGTTCGTTTATGGTGGGCGCTCTCATGAAGCTCTCATGAATTCAAAAGCTGAACTACTATTAAATATGTGTGCTGAATGTGAACTGTCAGGAAGTGCAGGGATTTCTCTTGTGTGTTTTAGTGCTTCCTCCATTAAAATGAATGCTTCTACCCGTTGGTCATCAGTTATGACACATGAAGTCCATTTGCGGTGTTGTCATAGCTGGCTGTTTCCTCTTGAGCTCATTGTGACATCAGGGAAGATGAATGAACACATTAGGCGCAGGAAGGTGCAGCGTGACTCGCTGTCAGCCGCCTGGATTAGATCTTTCTCGGTGGGTCCATGTAGTGCTGATGATGCTGGATGACAGTGACCATAAATGACAATAAATGAGTTACCTGTCAGTCCACATGACTTCATGCTTACAGCTCTTAGTTTGTCTGTTAAAGGCCAGTGTGAACACGATAATGTATCTTTTTTTTTGTGTGTATGTGTCAGTTTTCAACAACATAACACATATTTTCCAAAGCTGCTGCTAGCGGATGTTTTATGCGAGTATTCCAAAAAAATGTGTTTATTCTGTGTGTACCAGCTGTGGACAACATTGGCTCATATGTGATAAACAAAAGGAATAAAAGACATTAGTCCAATCCTTCAGGGTAATAAAATGACTCTGATGTATGAGACAACATCATCAATATTTCATAAATGACAACTTTGGCTTGGATTTGGCCCAGATTTTTTTTGCATAAGAGCCCTTAATAACCATTACCATCATCTCTCTTCATCTCTGTCTTTGCTGTCAGGAGCCTTGGGGCCACAACGCACACCAGGGGCCCTCAGGACCCTCCAGAGCCCCAAACGCGGAGCCCACCGCGAACGGCGCCGGCCACGCTCCAGCAACGACCAACCACTATGCCGACTCTGGAAGTGGTGAGCACACACTCGACAAATCACACTGGCGCACAATATTTGTCCATTTGAACCGTCAGATAGTCAACATTAGGCTTGGAGTGTTTGTGTACTCGCGTTATCTGCGACTGAGTGTGTATACACGGTATGTTTGTCAGCCGATGTGTGTGTATGCTCATATGCGCGCGCTCGTGTGTGTGTGTCTGACACCCAGCAGAGGCTCCTGACATTGTTGTGTTATTTCTTTCCACTGCAGCAGCCACCCTGAGCATCCTATTGCGCTGCATTACAGAATCGTCCAAGCTCTGCCTTTACATCTCTTTTCACTCTCGCCCCTGCATATTTATAGCGGGAGAAAAAGGCAAGTCATTAACTATGTTTTTCCGAACAACCGAGGCTTGCTTTTCATGTGCAAAAGATCTGACCTTGGAATCATTACGCTGATGAAACAGCCTCTAAGTGGGCCAGATTTGCATACAGGGTATTGTGCAGTGTGCGTGCCGCCGTGTTTAAAAATAAATAAATAAAAGAAATAAAAAAAGACTAACAAACTGTTTGAAATTCATTCTTTATCTCTCTCCCCCGTCTCTCCCGCTCCCTCACCCTCACCCCCTGGGACGCAGGGAGCTGGAGATGCTTTTCTTGCTGAGGCTCTGTCAGCTTTCCATCAGTCTGGAGCGGCGGTTACAGTTACAGTCATTTTGTAGAGGGAGGGAGGGGGGGTGTCAACACAAAGGCTTTACAGTGGGGGAATGATGTGTTCCCGGGGTTTACAGTTTATGGAAATGAGTTACGATGAAGTTTTCCTGTGGAAATGATTTGTGTGTGTTTTAGTGTGCATTGTGTGTGAGAGGTGTTTATTTCTGTGTGTTTTTTGATCTAGAGCTTATGCTTTCTAAATGTCTGACCTTGCTAAGCTCCATATCGACTGTAATGAGCCTTAGATACACACCGGTCTTCACTGTGTCTGTACTTAAATATCCTTTTGTGTGCAGTGTCTTGCCACAGCTGATTAATATTGGTATGAACAGTATTTATTGTTATTGCCTTTCTAAGTGTAAGTATTTATTCAGCTTTTATTGCCTTCAGGACTGACATTTGAGCAAATTCAGGCAGCTTTACTTTTGATATTGTAACAAAAAAAACAAACACATTTGGCGGAAAATGTGCTAAAAAGAACAAACACCGCACCACAACACCTTGCCCGTGGTCCAAGTTTTCTCTGATTTCCACCCTGATTGTTGTGTTCCTCCCCAGCACCGCATCCCGCTGCGGTCGCCAATGGCAGCTACGGTCACTACGGCAACGACGACGAGGAGTCGGGAGAAGGTTTTCCCCCGCCGCCCTCCCCCGGCGCCGTGGAGGAAATGAATAGAGACTTGCTACGAACTCCCCCACACCACAGGTACCCCCGTCCTCATAACACACGCGCACACGCATGCACACACACACACACACACACACACACACACACACACACACACACACACACACACACACACGTCCAATACGCAATCAGCACTCCATTAAACTACACACAGGGCCAGAGTTATTATATTCTAATGACACTCTTATTATGGGCCACTGTGTTATGAGATAAAGAAGAGCCATTACACTAAATATTACAAGCCACATATGCATTATTTAGACTATACAGTCTAATTGCAGTAGCCTATTTGCATTATGCATAAGTAATTATGGTGATAGCATAATAGAGTAAATTGTGTAGGAGTTTGAAGGCTTAGAAAGAGCTATGATACTTCTGTACAGCAGCAGACAGTGTGTGTGAGGTTCATTGGGAGCATTTGTTAAGAAAATATGGGTGCTATAATCAGAAACGCCTCCTGAATAACCTTAAAAGTTTTATGCTTTTAAACTTTTATCAAATCTTATTTTTTGTTTTCTGTTTACTAGATCTGTTCCACCGTCCATAATTTGTTTAATTTGTGTCCTGTTAAGTGCAGCTCCTCCATTGCATTGTGAGGCAATTGTGTACATCAGCAATACACTCAAAGACTTTTTTATGTGCATGCTGACAACCCAAAACCTGTTTAGAATTAAAGTATGGCATTGGGACACATCTACAAGTTCTGAGATTCCCTTTAAACTTCCCGTGCTTGAATCCCAGATAAGGGCAGAGTTTGTACGACGTGTTGTCCGACCACGTCAGAAAGCAAAAGTGTTTATACCTGATCCTGATTGAAGAGTGAAGTCGGGGGAGATGTAAGGAGTACCCTGGCCTCTTTAGTGTGGTAACTGGGCTCTGAAGAGTCATCCTCAGCGTCACAGCATGGCATGAACCGTAAAACACATCAAACGGAGCTTGTCTACTCAGCGAAATCCCATAATTTAGGGTCTACTGAATGAGCTGGTTAGAAGACCTTAACTGTAAGGGTGTGTTTTGCACGACTCTGTCAACAGTCTTGAATGAGTATGTTTGAAAGCGTGCTCTGTGTGTGTGTGTGTGTGTGTGTGTGTGTGTGTGTGTGTGTGTGTGTGTGTGTGTGTGTGTGTGTGTGTGTGTGTGTGCGTGCAGTATCTCATGCGGTCAGAGTCAGAATCTGGCATCAATATAGTTGTTTCCCAGTAAGTTTAATGGAGACAGTGCATGCTGTTGTTCTACTGAATCAAGCCATCTGGATGAGAGGAAATTGAATGATCTGTTGTCTGTTTGTGAATTCTAAATTTCATTTACTCCTACTTGTTTGGGTGATGTATCCAGAAAGTCACTGAAAGACTACTTCACTCCTGGCTGCGCTGATTCACGAGCAAATATTGATCAGTTGATTGATTGGTGCCAATTAATCGTGACTGTTGTTTTGCAGTGAGCTTCAGAGGCCGCCCCACATGGTCGCAGACTACTACGCAGACAGCCGACTGGCCAACGACAGGGACAACGTACCTCGCAACAGAGCGTCCAAGAGCATGGACCTGGGTGAGTGCGCACAAACACACACAAACACACACACACACACACACACACACACACACACCTTCATCAATGAAAGAAGCCATTGTATTCACCAGAGTACCACTGAGCGCATTATCTCGAGCAAAAAACATACAAACCATATTGTTGTCTCAACCATCACCAACCAGCCAAACATACGAGTCTAATCATGGTCCCAGACTACACACACACACACACACACACACACACACACACACACACACACACACACACACACACACACACACACACACACACCTACAACAGCGATCACATGCTCTTATCAGTACATTTCTTTGTTGTGATACGTAGCCCTCTCCTATTATCCTCGGCCTTAGGGGATTTGACCTCTTGAACTCATAAACCCAGGGGCTTTCCAGTGGACTGGATGAACAAGCCGTCTGGTGTGTGTGTGTGTGTGTCCTCTCTATTTGTGTGTGAATGAAAGGCGTGAGGTTTCCAATCTCACGGCTTGCTGTGTGTGTGGAAGGCAGGAAAGAAGGGGCTTATTTCCTCGTATTAACCCGTGCTGACCCCCTCTTTCCCTCCTCTCCTCTTTTTCTGTCTGTCTCTACAATCCTCTCATCTTTCTTTATCTCTTATTTTTCTCTTTTTGATACTTTTCTTCGATTTTCTTGTTATCCCTGGGTTTTGGGACACAGTCAGAGCTCTTTTTTTTCCTTTCTTCCCTCATATCTATTATTATTTCTATTTCTCAGCGTTCCCTCCATCTTTGTTTATCTCTATTTCCCCTTTCAGCACTTTCTTTCTCAGCCGAAAGCCGACGACTCCATTGCTCTTGCTCTCTTCTATCTATCTCCCTTTCTTCTCTGCCTCTCTCTGATTTCCAATCGCGGTTCATTAGGTTCAGTGGATTGGCTTTCTTCCTGCAGCACACGCCTCTGCCACCCAAGCTGATTGGCTTTCATTATGGACAAGGGTGGTCCACACACACACGGCCATACACACACAAACACACACTCTCTGTGCTCTATCCCACTGAGGACCCACTCGAATACCCACCGCTATCTGTCTCCCCTGTCTGGCTTCCATCTCCATCTCTGGCCAACCTCCATTTCAATCATTTTGTTTTTTTTTTTTCATCTTTTTTGTGGTATCTCTGCTACTCTCCAAAGTGCTCGAGGTTGAAACAAGGTAGTTAGCCGCGTTCTGTGTGTGTGTGTGTGTGTGTGTGCGTGTGAGTGGGTGTGTGTACATGTGTAAGAGATGGTAGCAGCTCTGCACACATACAGGATCTCAGATGCTGACCCTGTCTAAACATTTTTGTATTTAAAGAGCCAAATGCTTTTTTTTTTTTTTTTTTTTTTTTCTCTGGAGAGTTTCCAACATGTCAGTCTTTACGGTCACATGTGTCTGAGCTTCAGCCTCACCACAGGGCATGTTAGCTTTTATTAAACACCACTTGACAGAAAGAGGTGCACTGCTTTTTATTGACCCTGGATGCCTTAGCAAATAGTCTGTTGACTCAGAGCTTCCACTTGCACAGAGGAATCCCCATATTCACCGCCTGGCCCTGCCGAGATGAATAGTCGAGTCACCGACACTATAGCTGTAACGAATTTTCTCATTAAAGGGATGTGGATTTGATCCAAAGGTTCCTAGAATAATGAATCAGTTCATTCTGTCCCACAAGTGCCTGACAGCACCAGAAAGAAGCGTTTTTAGTCTCATTTGCATTGCGACTGTAATATAACTTTGACAAAGGTAAGACGGGAAAAAAAACACTGTAATAGATAACTTGTTCAAGCAAGTCTGACAGTAAGTCTCTGCAAGTAGATTTTTTTCACGAGCAAGAGCAATAATGGAAACTAATGCATTTTTCAGTCCAAAAAGCCTGCTTTGGAAAATGCTCTGTATGGATTGGCCTTAAGATGCTCAAAGTGCATTGAAATGTCAGACCTTTTAGGAGACGTGAGGCCTACGGGCTACACTTTGCAATCGAACTTATTTGATTTAAATTTAACTGAGGCTCTCTAAAGCATAAGTGGAGTCATTAGCTGTGTTTCCATCAACCTATTTTTATGCGCATTTTGAATTATCGCATGAGAAAGGTTTGATGGAAATGGCAAAGTTTGAAAAAACTTCACCATAAGGTTTTTACTCCTGCTTTTCACGTGTTTTTTTAAATAAGTTCCAACGTAGCAAACATGATTGTTTCGGCTCTTCGTCTCCTTATCGTGCCTTATAATACTTGCATGATCATTCCACACAGATCTGATATAACCTTCATTAAATTAATAGATGAAACAAACAGAATTTTCATATTTCCATCCTGTTTTCTCTCGCTCTTTTATCCACACCATCTTGTCGCATCCTCTACTTCTGCTTTTCCGACTGGAGAATTGGTAGTAGATGGAAACAAGCATTAATTCACATTTTCTTTAGCTGATTTACTCAAAATTGGATGGAAACAAACTATTGCATATAAGAAAGCAGCCAATCATGCCATTCATGCTTGCTCAGTTGGTAACAGTTGGCCTGTAACTTATCCACAACACCTTCGGCACTCAGTGATGCTATGCTGAAAACGATGTAAAAAAGGTCTTCAAATGCTCAATCTGTCAAGTTTCACCAGTTCTGGTCGGTTTGGCGCCACCCATGGTTCAGAACAGATTAAAACAGAGTTCTCCACGTCTATTTCATGAGACAGGTGTGTAGGAGTGGGATGAGTAGATCAAAAAGTTGCAAAAAGATAAATTGACTTGCAGCCGACATCTGTGGTTACCATGGTAACAGCAAACACTTGTTGAGCTGCTTCTTTGTCAGAAATACAACAGGGGAGCAGCTGGTGTATCTGATTACAGTGTAGCCAAACAATCATATGAAGTCAGTCAGTAATAATTACAGATTTTATTTTATTCTTTTCCACATCAACAGCACAGTCAGTTTGGTTGCCTTGCTTCCATTTCTCCCTCGCAAATGTTAAACATGGGCCACTGACAAAAAAACGCCAAACGAAAATGAACGATTGCAGTCAGTGCTAACCGCAACAAATCCATTGGGCTTCCTGTGGATTCTTCACAATAAAAGCCACCCCCTTTTTTTGCCAGTTGATTGGTTGAGTAAAGCTCTGACATGGGGTAAAGAGAGTGAACAGTAAACAGTGAGGCTGATATGTTGCATCACTTCCTGTGAGTCCTGCATGCTTAGGAAGGCAATCTGAATCTGCGGGAATGGCGGACCCCACTAAACATCTACATAGAGAGATAATTACTGAATGTTAATACATTGAATGGCTATTGCTGTAATACTGCAGACCATAACTAGTATTAAAGGTGGGGTATGATTGCCTAACAATGTTGAAATATCAAGTGTATGAATGAAGGAACAAATGGGTGTAGTTTAAGATGGTGGGCATGGAGATGGAATATTATGGCAAGTTGTGAAAGAATCCATTCTGAAGGGTCAGAACTATAATGCGTGCAATAGACGTACAGCACAGATCCATGAAAGATCAAATGAAGACCGGGCCCAACAGTCCAGTAGCCTCCAAAGCGCATAGACTCTCATACTGTTACAGGTCAAGAGGTCAAATCTGGATGTGAAGTAAAGTAGATCCAACAGTTCCAACGCACACAGCCAGAACTACTCCCCGTGTCTCATTATCGCAGTTGCCCGCTTTGTCCTACTCACCACTTCTCTCCACCTCTCTTTATCCGTCTTTCTCTCTGAATCTCTCTTTTTCCTTTTACAGGTCTTTTTTCCCCATCCTCTTTGTCTGTCCCTCGCCCTCCCTTTTATTGAGTCCTCTTTTTGTCTTTGATGCTCCCCGTCTTTCTGTCCTACACTTTCTCTCTTGTTACTCCTCCTCTCTTTCTTTGTCAGTTTTTTTTATACAGTCTCTCTCTTTCCTGCCGTACCTTACTTCCAAACACATGATATAGCGTGCTGCTGCAGGTTTGTCTGAATGCACTTACATTTTGTATTTATATTACCCAGTAATAGAGGACACATATATAAGACTATAAGATAGCTGGCTGGAGGTTAAAAGAGGGTTTCTACAGTTGTAGCCTTCCACTGTGGCAGGAGGAGACAAATTTGGCTGCTGGCCATGCAGACTTTTATCTTTCCTCCACAGAAAAGGAAGCGTTTCATTATCAGGCAGGGTCACGTCACCTGGAAAAGTTTTTTTTCCAAACTTTGAAAGTATAAAATGTTCACTTTATCTGTCACGTGTGCAGAAGAAAGGTATTTCTGTGTCTTTGTCTCGGCCGCCGCAGATGTTTCTTTCCGGGGATTTTATGAAGTCTTTTGATTTCAGCTTTGCTCTCGTGTTTTTTTAACCTCTGTTTCTCTGACACACCCTATCACCCTGCATCTGTCACTCCCTCCTCGCTGTTTATCACTTTTTCGGTCTACTCTCTGTGCCCTCAATATTCTTGCGTCCTCTCATTTTCTCTCCCCCTCACCCGTCCGTCCGCTGGGAAAATTGACCTCATAAAAAATGAAAAGGATTATTTAAGAGAAATAGCAGCGTAATGAAAACCTATTATTGTATCCCATGGTGCACCGCCTGTGGCGGCTGCTGCTGGCCGACCGCAATCCTGTTTAGTTAGATTAGGTGGTGGTGGGTTGGGGTGTCTTCTTGTTTTCTTTTCCCTCCCTTTATTATTTCTCTCATTGTCTCACCTCTATCTGTTGTCATTTTCTCTTCCAATCCCAATATCCCCCTTTCTTCTGGTTTTCTTGTTTCTTTTTCATTTCCTCTTTCAGTCCGTCTCATTTTGTCCCTCACTCGTCCTCCACTGTCTGATCCTTCTGCAGGGAGTCATGTGCCAGCACCGGAAGAAACCATTATAACCATTTCCAAAGCTGCTCCGTATTCCCAGAACATTACAAGCTATTGACTGTGTGATTGAGTCTGTTTTTTTGTGTTCTAGTGGCTGACGAGAGCAACATGGGATCCCTGGTCTGGCAGAGGACTGGTGAGTGTTTGATATAATCTAAACACACATGCTCTCTGAGAAAAACACTCCTCCTTTGTTCTTGACCCACCAATCTCTCTCCCTTGTCGCCTCGCACGGTGTAACAGTTGAGTCCATCCGCACACACGCATAAACTAACCTTCTGTGTGAAGATTCTCATTTTCTTTTTCTCATCCCAAACATTTCCTTATTCAACGCTCTCCATTGCCTTCCCCTCCCTTTCCCTCCCCGGCTGACAAAGTTGAGTTGTGAAGCACTTAGTGTCTGAGCTCTCGCTGCTTTATGGCCGTCCAGGTCAGCAGGCCCACAGTGCTCAATCCTCACCCGGCTGACAGCAGCCGCATTGCATTACAATGGCTCCTGCCTCAGTTATTTGTCCGCACTCAGTTCCGCCTCGTTTTATTTGAGGAAAGTCTGGTTAAAGATAGAATATAAAGTCAGTTTCCCTTTTACTGACTGACATTACACAGTAGTGGTTCGAACTATATCTAGCTCGCAGTAATTTACCTTTCTGACTGCAGAAACAGCTGTTCATGTGGAATTACCCCTGACTAAAGCCCCTTTCAGGCATGTACCTTGTTATGCAAAGCTGATGCCAGTTTAACACGTCAGTCTCATGTCCCGAGTCACTTTTACATAAAAGTCCTGACGGCAATCTGAGTAGGTCATCACATCTTCGTAAAACTTGTAACACCGAACAAGTGTGAACTACATGCCATAAGGAAATGACAGACAGATTAGATCCAAGAGCACCGTGAGAAAGTTATCACTTTATTATCACCTGTAATGCACAAAGAAAAGAAAAGAAGCTAAATAAACCACAAAACACAGTGAATTTAAGTGAGATTCTTCATGTCAGATCATTCTATGAAACCCTCATGGTGCTACTGGAGCAGAACCACAATAATAATCATCAATATCCGGCTTCACATACATGTGAGCACACAGGAATTAAATAAGAATTCCATGCTTGTCAGACATGTTCAAACACGCAGCAGAATGTAATATCTAATAATATTAGATGATGAAATTGATGATTAGAGGATTCATCCCTTTGTTTCACCGCTGTTCTCCAGCATTGCTCCCTTTTGTGCGCCAGGGGCAAAATATCGTGCAAGAATTGGGGCTCTTTCTGTAAAATTCCTGCCTGAATAAAGCTGTATGGAATATTTTTTTGGTTTAAAATAAGTGCTGAACAACAGCTCTACATTCTGACAGCCATCACTGATATAGTGTTCAGTCAGTAACGTGGGTATCCCAGACCCTCTACATTTTACACATTTTCTGCCATCCGTTCCCATTTTATCCAATAGACCTTTTTCACAGCAGCCATTTTGACATGAAATAGTAGGGTAAACACAGGCACCAATGCTACAGATCAAACCTTGTTAGGGTGCTACACTAAATGGAACAGAGCCTTAATTCATATCATAACACCTGTTTTTACCCTACTGTTTCATGTCAAAATGGCAGCTGTAAAAAAAAGTCTGTCGGGACCCAAAGCAGCCATATTTGACGACCTGGAAAAGAGACTCAACAACCAACTATATTCTGCAGAATCACGTACTGCACCTATAACAGATAAATAAACAACAATGTTTATATATTCTATGTCTGAATTGGCTGATTGGCAGTATGTTTTTTTTTTTTTTTTTTTTTTTTTTTTTACTAATGCTGAGAAAAAATGTGCTTTAGCAAAAAAAAAAATTAGACAGAAATGTAACCAAGCACTGCTGACAACATCTTAAAGATAAAGACAGGAAACACTGGTTGCAAAGTTATTGGCTTGTACACTGCAGTTCCAGGGCTGAGTGCTGAACGCAGGGACAGTTTGTGCTGTGATAGGGCAGCAGTGAATTTCCACTGAGTCAGATATAGCTGCTCCAGCACCGGCTTGAATACTGTATGTGCTTGTTCTGGGCATCTCCAGCATGAATATAAATCAGAGTGTTGCTGACAGAGAAGCGCACATGCTCAGTTGACCGTCTCGAAGCTGGGCTGCACAAGTCATGATTTTAATTGTGGAGTTGAGCAATGTAGATACACCGCATCTCATTTTAATATGGCTACAGGGCACATATAAGGGAAGAATCAAGAGCAGCAGTTTAGTTCTGATGCTGGGAGACAGGCCTTTCCGCTTGTGTGTCTCCGTTACACACACACACACACACACACACACACACACACACACACACACACACACACACACACACACACACGTACACCGATCTCCTAAATCCACCTGCAATACCAACTAAGCCTGTTGCCGGTGGAATACAAATGGACCCGAGCACCGCTGCTGACCTCAAATCCCCCACACTCAGCATTCCCACAAGTGGCTTTCGCCTCCGCCCTCCTCTTCTCCCTGATACCCCCACTCCCCCCTCCTCCTACTCCTCCCCTCTCCTCTCCCGCTATGATTTTCCTGGAATTTCTGATCAGCGCCCATAACCCTTATGGCCCATGATAAATAAAGCGATCCATTTCTCCGCCGCAGCATTCCCCTTTCTTCTCCGTGTTTTTCTTTTTTCATCCCCCCTCCCCGTTGACGTCTTGGCTAATGCGTATTGACAGGGCTTTTGCGTGTTTTTCATTTTTTGCTGACGCGGGGTATTTGCCTAGCTTCCTGTGCTATACCCGCCCCCCCTCTCCCATCCCACCCCTCATCCCACCCTCCTTCCTAAATGGCCTCAGTGTTTCTTTATGGGCTTTGACATATTTCATTAGGCGGATGGTCTTAAGAGGCCTGCCTGGCTTCTTTAATCTGGCTAAAACCCTTTTTCTCTCTGGCTAGAGCCGCTGCGAGGAGGCTTCACTCCTCTAGCTCTCTCTCTCTCTCTCTCGTCTCTCGCTCCATCCTTCTCCTCTGTCACTTACTCACGCTGTCCCACTCTCCTTCCCTCTCCCTCTCCCTCTCTCTCTCTCTCTCTCTCTCTCTCTCTCTCTCTCTCTCTCTCTCTCTCTCTCTTGATTCTCCAGTCTTGGGAGTCTCCATCTTCAATAGAGCTTTTAGGGGTTTTTTTTCTTTCTTTTTTCCGCTTTCATCTTCGCCACCACTCTCGTTCTTTCCCGCTTCCTCCCAATCGCTTCTCTCTTGATTATTCTCTGTCTCCTGCTCTTTGTCGCCAGGCTCATCCCCATTTTTAGTATCCGCTCAATCCCGGACCTTCATCTCTCTTTCTTCTTCTCTCTCCCTCCTTCTCTCCTACATCCGATTCTCTCTTTATGATCACTTTTTTTCTCTTTCTCTCACCAGGCTGATCCTTTTTTATTCTCTCTCTCTCTCTCTCTCTCTCTCTCTCTCTCTCTCTCTCTCTCTCTCTCTCTCTCTCTGTGTTATCCTCAGTCCTCTGTCTCTCTCTATCTCCCTCTCTCTCTGTCCCTCCATCTCCCTCCATCCTCTGCAGCTGTATCTGTTCCAGTCTTATGTGATTATGGTGAACATGCTCCTGTCTCTGAGTTTCTCTGCACAGAGTCAGACCCAGCCCAGCATCTCCTAGTGCCTCATTGTGTGTGTGTGTGTGTGTGTGTGCGTGTGTGTGTGTGTGAGACGCGTGCGTGCGTGTGCGTGCGTGTAAACACCTCACACACAGCCAGAAGAGTAATGGACAGATATCCTTACATTCATCCCTCCATTTCTCTCCCTTAGAGCCTAACATCTCCCTTGGCAGCAGGCTGCCCTCTTACAACACACCTGGGAGCTCATCCAACACACACACACATTATACGCACACACGCACTGGGCCTGTGCAGAAGGTTCTACTGCAATACTGCATCTCAGCCTCATGCACATCTACTGTTTGGTTGTGTTGTCATCTGCTTTTGCTGCACTTTCTATTCGTTTAGATTTTTCAGTCTTTCGTATGTTTCTTTGCGTGTGTGTTTTCTGATGATCATTTGAAGATGTGTGTGTGGACTCATCCGTTGTTGTTGTCTGACGGTTTAGTGCCATCTAGCTAACAGCTAACCCTGCAGCACAGCCACCGGTGCCATCGCTCTGTGCGCCCATTAGTCCCTGTTGTTTCTTCTCCTCACAATAAGACTCGAAATCCAGCCGGCACGCTGCCAGCGCCGAAGCCTCTGCTTTGTGTTCACGCTTTTTGTTTGGGTGCTGTGTAGCTCTGCCTCTCGCTGTCATTCGCTCCTTAACTCGCTCCCATCTCTCTCTCTCTCTTTCCCCTTCCTCTCCCTCCTTTCTTTGCATCCGGCATGTGGTTGTTGATTTAAGTTGAAAGTCACCATTGAATTGATTCATCATTCCGTGACCATCTGTGTGGGTGTTTTTTTTTTATGTATCTCTATTCTTATAAGGGATGATTCTGCTTATATGGATAAAGGGATGAATGAACTTTATTGGTTAAGTTAAGAATTAAATCAGATGTGGAGTGTTGGGAACGACTATGTGTCATTTTATCCAATGTAGCTTCTCATATAGGCTTTTTCCACCAACAAGGAACCAGCTCCGATCCGGTTCAAGCACCTAGTTTTAAACGTTCCTGAGCTTTTTGACAAAGAAATTGGGTTGGGTTGGGTCCCTGTTATATTGCCACTGGTCTCAGGTCTGTGTGTCAATGCATGTAATATCTTTGTGGATCCAAGTGGAGTTACTATCAGCACAATGGAGGAAGGAGAAAAATGTCTTCATTTATTTTTTGAGTATATTTTTTAGCCTTTATCTGATAGCTGGGGGCGAGCAGGTGTGTACTGTGAGGTGCTACTCTTTCTGGCTGTGGCTGCTCATTAATTGGCCGAGCATCACGCTGCTGCCAGTGTTGGTGTCCTCTCAGTTTGAGTTTGTTCGGGTCATGCGCTTTTCGGATCCGGTCTAATTATCCTCGGTTCTAATAGGGATGGGTCGGACTTTCCTTGTAGCTCTAAAAAGAACCATCAGTTTCAGACCAGGTCCAAAATTCTTTGCCTTGACATCCACACTATGCTTCATAACCTTGTCGTACAGGTTGTGAAATGCTGGAAGCAACAATTTGTCGGGGTTCAGCCTG